CTCCTTCCCAGCCCTTCTTTTTAAGGTGTTGCTAAATCTATAGACCTGTAGGCATCACCTAATGCCAGTATAAAAAATGATGGATACTATTGCTAAGATAAAAAGGGGTAGAATTCATTAAGTGGAGTTTTGTTACTGTTTCAAGCTTTTATTTAAAATGCAGTGACTTAATATAAAATGCAATATTAGTTTCAGGAGTAGTATTTAGTGATTCATCACTTGCATATAACACCGACTGCTCATCACAAGTGCCCTCCTTAATCCTCATTACTCATTTAACCCATCCTCCCTCACCTCTCCTCCAGCTGTTCTCTATAGTTAAGAATCTGTTTTACGGTTTGCCTCTCTCTCTCCGCCCCCCCCCCCGTCTGTTTTGTTTCTTTTCTTTTTTTTTAAGATTTTATTTATTCATGAGAGAGAGAGAGAGAGAGAGACAGAGAAAGGGAGAGGGGCAGAGACACAGGCAGAGGGAGAAGCAGGCTCCATGCAGGGAGCCTGATGTGGGACTTGATCCTGGGACCCCAAGCTCACGCCCTGGGCCGAAGGCAGGCACTAAACCGCTGAGCCACCCAGGCTGCCCTGTTTTGTTTCTTAAATTCCACATATAAGTGAGATCATATTTGTATTTGTCTTTGTCTGACTTATTTCACTTAGCAATACATTCTCGTTCCATCCATATTTTTGCAGATGGCAAGATTTCATTTCTTTTTCATGGCTGATTAATTTACATTTTACGTGTGTGTATAGACATGCACACACAAACACAGATACACATAGGCACACATACCACAACTCCTTTATCCAATAATCAGTCAGTGGACATTTGGGCTCTTTACATAATTTGACTATTTTTGATAATGCTGTTATTAAGTATCGGAGTGTTTACATCCCTTTGAATTAGTATGTTTATATCCTTTGAATAAATACCCAGTAGTGCAATTGCCGGATCATAGGGAAGTTCTATCTTTAACTTTTTGGGGAACCTTTATACTGTTTTCCAGAGTGGCTGCACCAGTTTGCATTCCTATCAACAGCATACATGGGTTCCCCTTTCTCCACATCCTTGCCAACATTTGTTGTTTCCTGTGTTGTTAATTTTAGCCTTTCTGACATATTTAAAGTGATATTTCATTGTAGTTTTGATTTGTATTTTCCTGATGATGAATGATGTTGAGCATCTTTTCATGTGTCTGTTAGGCATCTGTATGTATTCTTCAGAAAGATGTCTATTCATTTCCTCTGCCCATTTCTCAATTGGATGATTTGGTTTTTGGCTGTTGAATTTGATAAGTTCTTTATAGATTTTGGATACTAATCCTTTGTCAGGTATGTCATTTGCAAACATGTTCTTCCATTCTGAAGATTGTGTTTTAGTTCTGTTGGTTGATTCCTTCACAGAGGGTTTTTGTTTTGAAGCCCCAGTAATTCACTTTTGCTTTTGTTTCCCTTGCCTCCAGGTACCTAGTAGAAGTTGCTAAGGCTGATGTCAAAGAAGTTACTGCCTGTGTTCACTTCTTGTATTTTGATGTTTTCCTGTGTCACATTTAGGTCTTTCATCCATTTTTGAATTAATTTTGTATATGGTATAAGAAAGTGGTCCAGTTTCATTCTCTTGCATGTTTTCTATTTCTATTGCATCTATTTCTGTTGCATCTATTGCCCAGTTTTCCCAACACGATTTGTTGAAGAAACTGTCCTTTTGCCATTGGGTATTCTTTCCTGGTTTGTTGAAGATTAGTTGATCATATAGTTGTGGGTCCATTCCTGGATTTTCTGTTCTGTTGCATTGATCTAGTGTCTGTTTTTGTGCCAGTACCATACTGTCTTGATCATTACAGCTTTGTAATAATATTATAATATTGTAATTTGTAATATTACTTGAAATCTTGAATTTCTTTCATACAGTAGAGTTTTAATGAAAACCTTAAACTCCACTTGGTCAGATTTTTTTCTGATACCTTTACTCAGGTGGTTAAAAGATTTCACACTGTTCTGTAGTTCTGCCTGTTTTCTCTCAGTGTAGGATGAATTAGAGGCAAAAATCACAGGCCATTACTGTAAAGTTTTAGGGAAGTACTGGGTGCCTACACAAAAGTGATGACTGTGGCAGATGTGAGAAATGAGAGGGAGAGTAACAGGTTTTGTGGATTGATTGTTAGTAGAAGTTAAGGAGAAGGAAGAGTTGTCAGCATTAGCTCATGGAAGGTGGATCAAATTCCCAGCTGCAGTGGTCAAGCAGGTTTGACCTGCTGGGACCAATGACAGACACTTAGAAAGAAAAGTTTGATGAGAAAACACAAATACATCATGAGTAGTAATGGCAGCAGCAGGCAGGGGCAGAAATCACAGATCAAGTCCATATTAGATCATGACAAATAAAGATGTTAGATGCAAAAATTGTGGTGGTTCAGGATGTTAGACTAAGGCATGGCTTCAGATAGTGGTGTAGAAACCATGAGAGCTCCACACAGAGTGATCCTTCCCAAAGTTCCCTGGAAATGAGTCTTGGTTGATTGGCGCCAATTAGGTCCAAGGAAATGGCCTAGCAGGAAATAAGCAAGAAAGTAAACTGTGGTCACAGACAAGATTGATCTCCCTATCCTAGGAGGAAGAAGAACCCCATGGGATTTATGTATAGAAAGGGACCTAAGATGTTAGACTCTTCAGGGAAATTATTGCCCATTATTGACATTAAGTTGTTCAGTGTTTCACTTCTCATCATGACAGAGCCAAAACAATTTCCCAATACTTATGGATTACCTGAGTAATTGTTATTAACATACTACTGAACTAAGTTGTCTCTGGTATGGAGCTGTTTTATCTTTCTAAAGCATCATTTCCTTTGTGTCATTGCTCTACGTAAGAATCTCCTAAAGCCATGTTTTCTATCTGATTAAATTCCAGTGCTTTGGCATTCAGAAATCGTTATCAGTTTACTTACCCTTTTCCATGAATGTAAATCTTCTGCTCTGGGAAGATTATTACCATCTTTTCAAATATGCTATGTAAACCTAGGATGTTCATATCTCTTCCTAATGTTAAAACTCCTATTTTTTCTTCTTGAAACCTTATTTTTTTTTTTAAGATTTTATTTATTTATTTGAGAGAGAGAGAAAGAGAGCACAAGCTGGGGAGCAACCGAAGGAGAGAGACAGAAGCAGGTTACTAACTGAGCAGGGACCATCCCCCCGAACTCAGGGTCCCAGTCTCAGGACCTTGGGATCATGACCTGAGCTGAAGGCAGACACTTAACCAAGTGGGCCACCCCGGTGCCCTATGAAACCTTGCTATTAACCTCAACTTCTATAGTGCTTTATTTTGATTTATTCTAACTTGACTCATTCTTTTCTTCCATGTTTGCAACTTTTGTCTCTCCAACTAGTATTTTGTCCCTCCATATAGATTGTATTTTTTCTTAAAGGCACCGACATATATATTCTGTCTCTTATACATGCCATTAAAAAGTAGGGAGTGATCCCTTTTTTTTTGTTTTTATTTGAGTACTTGTATTTTATTTGACTACTTTTTAAAAGTCTTAATCTTCAGAATAGTGAGGAAAATATTAGTCATTTGCCTGGCTCTTCATTTAATAAAGTGTAACTTAGAAATGCAAGATGTAATCTCCTTATTGAAAGTTCTTATGGATTATTTTGAGACAGCTTCTCAAGATATTGATATTTAAATAATTTTAATAGTTTATACATAATCTGCATTATGACATCATAGACATGGAAGAGACAATAAAAAGAATAAGCTTGCCATCCTAAATAATAATTTTTTCTACTATAAAATAATTTTTATGAAATGTATAAAATAGAATTTTTCCATTATTGATAGCAATGTAAATTGCTATTAATTCCCTAGAGGCAGAGTGAAAATATATATGAAAAGGTTTTGTTTGACCAATCATATCCACTCCTTGGAATTTATCTCAAGGAACTCTGTACATATATGTAAATATATTCTATGCTGGTCATTTTAACATTGTTTTACAATAGTAAAATACTGTGAATCACCTAAGTAAATATTTAGCCATGAGCAATTCATAAATTGTGCTATGGCGTAAACACTTGATATGAAATATACGGCTACTAAAAAAATGATCTACTAGAGTATTTAGTGAGAAAATAGCCCTGATATATTAATAACTGAAAAATATTAGATTACTGAACAGTGCAGTGTAATTCCATTTTTGCCAAAAAAAAAAATTGTATCTATAAACTTTAAAAATTTTGTTATCTAAATTATATCCAATTACTATGCATCACTTTTGTAATCAGCAAAAAAAAAAAAATCCTATTAACAAATTTGCTGTAGTTCAGAGAAAATAAATAGCAATGAAAAATTATCCACAAAGAAAGGTCTTGAAATTAAGGAAAACAAAAGACACTTCCTTCCTCTATCCCGCCACCCCCATATATAAACATTTCTTCTAATTCTGTTAATCTTCACCTTAGGTAGAATTCAGAATAACCATTGGTGGCAACTCTAATCTAGGGATCTAGAGTTAGCAACTTCAGTTGTAACATAAGCACTTCCACTAAGTGGTTTTCTTAGTGGTAGCCCTGAATAGCATATCAGAATTCCTCTTTTAGAAAATCCATAGATTATGAGTAGATTTCTAATTAGATCAGTAAGGCTATATAGAAAGCACATAGTAACCATTCAGCAAGAGTTAATGTTCCTTCTAAAGAAACTGTTAGCTCAGAAATTTGATGTTTTCTGAAACTGAAACTTCAGAAATAACTCACAGGTCCTTCAAGTGCCAGTTTAGAATTTTCCGGCCCGTAATGATATTTATTGTAAGATCTTTTAAACATGAATTCATTTTATTCATCTGGGTAACTTATTTATAAAATGATTAAATTCTCCAGAAGACATCATTTTCACACTTTGTCATTTACTCTTATTAATTCACCTTTAGCATAATTAAAAGCATTTAGCTTCTGAAGGAGATGTTATTTCACACAGTCCATATTTATTTGCTTGCTTAACTTTAGGTTGCTATCAACAGATCAGACATTGAAGACTTAGACCTCTATGCAACATCTCGGGAAAGGAGATTTCGTTTGTTTGCTTCTATAGAATGTGAAGGGCAGTTATTCATGACTCCATATGATTTTATTTTGGCTGTTACAACAGATGAGCCCAAATGTAAGTATATATTTTTTAATTCTCTTAATGATTTTATAAGATTTTTTTCTTATTTCCAGTTAAAGTGTGGAGCAGGGTAAGTTTTTAGAACAACTAACCAAGTAATGTGGTATTTCAAAAGACGTTATGCTATATAACCTTACTAAATTAATATTTCTCATAAACTCTTACTGATATCTCTTTTCACAAACTTGCATTTATTTACTCTTTCTTAGTTCATCAAACTTAAAAACCACGTCACTCTTGATATTCTTTATAATAGGTTCATATTCTGCTTATTCAATTCTTATATCCAGCATGAACAGAGTAATTCAGAGGACTGGCTTTGAAGCTAGACCTGGGGCAAGAATTCTACCTGTATCTTTTCTGTATTTGTCATGGCCCCTACAGTGCAAATATAGACTACTACTCTTCTTTCATGTGTTAGAGCAGTGGTTCTCAAACTCTTTGTCATTATGTACAGTCTTGCAATTTCTTCAGCATCTGATTAATAAAAGATGGCTGTATTCTCATCTGCTTTTTTTATTCAGTAGTTGCAGTGTGTTGTTTTTCATGAAGTATATTAAGCAAATCTGCCTCACAGGTAAAGAAGTAAGGAAAAGGAAGAGTACTTTAATAGCCCTTTCAGATTATTGTAGATATTCTTCTTTGATACTTCAAAGGCTAGTGGTAGTTCCTTAAAGTTTAGTTGTAATGTGGAATTTGAAACTTTGTAATCTGTTATGATAAAATCCATTGGTCCCCACTGCACTTGGAATGGATCTTTTACCCTTATATAATCTTGTAACATCAAATGGAAGATACTGGTTGATTTAGTTATGCAGATCTTCCAAATATTGACATATTTTTAGGCGATTTATTTAAAAAAATAATTCAGTGATATTGTCATAATATTACCATGAAAGTCTTATTGGAAAGCTGTCAAACTCATGGTGGTGTATACAAGTTCTCCCAAATTCTAATTTTTACTTGAAAGCTCAAATGTTATCACTGGCAACAAATATTGTCAGTTGTTTTCTTGAAGCAATAGCTTTGTTCATTTTTAAGAAAATGCTTGCCAAATACCCAACTCCAAATAATCATAATTTGTCAGTTCTTTCAAGTAAAAATTGTGTTCCATGAAAAAGGGTTCAGTTCACAACTCAAAGAATCACAGTACTTTTTCCTCAAGACAGCCATAGTACTTTGGAATGCAACAGAGTACTTTATGCACACTTCCCATTTCTTCTCATAGCAAATTGTGACATGTAATCAAAGACACCTACTAGGCTCTGGAAATAAAGTGGTGAGGGAAGCAAACAAACAAAAATAGACTCTCCACCCTCATGATGCTTACAGTCTGGTGGATAAAACCCATGCTGATCAATGAAGTATACAAATAAATAGTAAATTACATCTGTGATAAGTGCCATGAAAGAAACTTGAAGCTGTGAGAGCATATTTTTGAGAGGTAAGTTAGGTAGCTCAGGGAAATCTTCCCTGGGAAAATAAATATCCACATGAAATATGAATTGCATGTAAGAGTTAAGTAGGCTAATAGGAAGTTGAAAGTAGAGCATTTCAGCAGAAGAAAAAGTATCAAGGTGCCATGATAAGTTCTTAAGCATTCTTAGCAGTAACCAAAAAAGTAACTATGTGAGATGAAAACAAACGTCTAAAAGTTAAAAAAAAATCTAAATAATTTGGCAAATTGGCTACTTTGCAAAGTAATTTTTAATCAATTAATTTTTGACATTTTAGATTATTTCCATTGGAGATGAGGGGAGAGGGTTGGGTAGAGTGTATATTTAGGATTCATCTATGTGGTTGGTAATTAATACAGTAAGTATGGATAATACTGCCTATAAGGCAGTATAGTATGAGAATATAGCTGACCAAGAACCAATCCTTGAGGAATTCCTAGACTTTAAATGATGAAGGTGCAAAGGCTTGAAAGATGAGCCTCAAAAGGAAAAATAGGAGTATCTGGAAACATGGGAATAAAATCAGGAGAATAGAGTCATAGAAGCCAAGAAAAATGAACAGAATGGTCAAATAAGATGTCAAGTTAGATGAGAACAGAAAAATGTCTACTAGATTTAGTAATTTGAAGGCTATTGATGATTTTTAAAATGATGTTTCAGTGTAGTCATTAGAGCAAAGACCAGATTGCAATAGCAGAAGATGAAAAAATGAAGACAGTGAGTAAAGGACTCTTTGAAGATGTTTGGCTGTAAAATAGAAAGGAAATGAAATATAGTAGTTGAAGGAGAAACTTTATCATGCTATATTTTGTCAGAAGACTCTGAAGTTAGTAACTGATGGAAAGGGAACTACGTGAACAAACACATGGGATCAGGAGAGTAAATGGTATATTCAAAGTAGTCCACTTTGGGAGTATGTAAGATAGTAGTAATAGAAAAGGCTACAAATGAAGTAGGACTCTTTTGGAAGAATTTGAGGGCTATGGTAAGGATTATATCTCTGCTCCTTTACCTTCCCTTTCCTCCTTCCCTTCTAGAAATATTTATTGAGTACTTACCATGTGCCAAATAACCATATTTAGCCTTAGAATTGGTTATTTGATACTTTTTATCCTCTTTAAATATTTTAAGCTTCATAAGTATAGAGACTATGTAGAAAAGACTTATACAAAAACAGATATGCATTCCATACGTTTAATTGATTTCATACAATGTGGACCTTTTATATTTATTATTAAGTTAGCACAGATTTGATATAACTATGTATTTTTTAGAATATCAAATGGTATTTTTGCATCAAATGCTATAATTTGTCAAACTTATATTTGAGAAGTCATTCATTAAGTAATGCTTAATTTAGAATTTCGTAGTTTGAAAATTTTTCAATTCATTATTTTCTTAATTTTTTCTTCATCATAATATACTCACTGGAAGCCTGCTGGTGGCTTTTTATTTTTTGGAAATAAATTTTATGGTGATTCTTTTCAAGGTATTATAGAACCATCATTTGTAGGAAAACATTCTATTATAAAAAATCTGCACAGGGCATTTAACAACCACAAACATTAGTTAATTTCAAACTGAAACTTTTAAAACATAGTTAAGAACGATCACAAATATCAAGATATTTGTAAAAACTTTTTTTGAAGTGTAGGATTATAAAAAGAAGTATTTACCTCAGAAGAGAAAATGTGTTTCATAGACTGAATAATTAAATCATATATGTTTATCAATGTGGCATATTTAAAAGTTTTATTTATTTATTTATTTATGATAGTCACACACAGAGAGAGAAAGAGAAGCAGAGACATAGGCAGAGGGAGAAGCAGGCCCCATGCACCGGGAGCCCGACATGGGATTCGATCCCGGGTCCCCAGGATCGAGCCCTGGGCCAAAGGCAGGCACCAAACCGCTGGGCCACCCAGGGATCCCCTAGACAGACATATTTAAACCTTAGCATTCATTTACTAGCTTTGAGAACTTTGTTATTTAATCTTTTGTCGCCTCATTTATAAAAAATAAAAATAATAGCAACTTCATTAGACTTTTGAGGATTGAGTGATATTGTTTGTATTTAGTATCATACCAGACACACAGTAAGCACTTAATAAATGTAGGTAGCTGTCCTTGTCATGTCACCATCATCATCATTTGAATTCATAATCATCATTTTTTAAAAAGTCTTTAACAGGAAAAAAGTGGTATACTCTGTAAACATTCGCTTAATATATTTCAAATAAATGTTAATCGAGATATGCATTTATTGATTGATTATAGGTTTGTGTTTGAAATCTAGTAAATTTCTTATTTTACCTACTTAAATAGAACCCAAAAGACAAGTTTCCCTTCTAGAACTAAAATAAGTAATTGATTACTTGCATATAGCTACAAGTATTATTTTTAGTTTTAAAAATATATTGTTAAAAATTTTCAGATGTACATGAAAGTATTAAAAATATAATGAATATCAACTTATAACTGAAAAAATAAAATACATCCTATAGCATTGAAGTCCCTCTTCACCAGAGTTATATTTATATATGTAGTAACTTCATATTAAATAAGGAATTTAGAAAATCAGAAAATCCTTTGAAGAACAATCTTAATGGCTCTTTAGTCTTTATAAAAAAAAAGCTAATAATACTGAACATAGTGACATATCCGGCAGAATGAATATGTCTTTTGTGAATAATTTACCCTGGAAATCTCATAAACCCTACAAAACTCAAGAGTGTGTCTAACTTCCTCTTCTGATAAATTGCTTCTGAACATTGCCTAAGAGCATGTGCATGTACTTTTGTGCCATTTATTTTTCTTCTGATCATACTGCAACATTTCAAATAAGGAGGGTAATAAATATTATTTACAATCTTCTGTTCATTATGGAAAGGTGGATGTCTCTATTAAATAAATGTATTGGAATTAAGGCTAACTGCTGAATTCTTCTTTATAAACCTGTGATTTTAATCACTTGATTACACATTTGTACAAACTGTCTTAGGTAAAGAAAGGATGTTGTTGCTACATAGAGAACAAATCGATCTCCATAAAAATCAGTTTGCTGAGTTTTAGAACGAACTTCTATCCTTTCAATCTTAAAAGTGACTTATATTGCTTAAAAACTAAGAATGTTAAATGGCAAAAACTGCCTTTGTTCTAGTCTTGACTTTGATATACTGTTTACTATAACTATCATTAATTATAAAGAAATAGCCACATTACTATATAGAAAAATTATTGGTTGTCATTATTGTAATGTAGCTGAAATAATATTTACTAGTTCCTAATGCAGCTGTGTTATAGGACTTAATCACATATAAACCTGGAGATAATTTATTGGGCAGACATCAGATATTCAGAGTTTTCAAATCTGAGTAAAGGATACAGCAGTGTTGATTGTGCACTTATTCCAGTATTATAAGACTTATAGTGTTTGAGATCTTCAAGGGTGTGAGGAGGAATCACAAAAAGAAAGTGATCTCAGGTAATTTATCCAGTGATAACACTCTTGTTCCAGAAATTATTCTTAAATACAGGGAAAGAATGGAAAACAGGATGAGGAGCTAGCTCCCTATTGCCATTACCTGCTCTCTTTCATCTCATTTTCTCATTGCCCCCACCCTTCCCCTTCACCCTAGAGAGACCTGGATTTGAATTATAACCAGAGATACTAACATCGTAGAGGTCATGGGTAACATTATAATTAAAACATAATTTTTCTCTGTTGATATTTTATATCCTAGTATGAATATTTAATAAATATCAGTATTTGTGTTTTTAAGCCCAAAGGATGATTAACATGGAGTAAGTTAACTTTATAAATCCAGAAATCCCTGAAGTAAGATAATGATTATGGAAAATATGTGTCCTATTCCACTGATATCATTTGTTGTAACTAGTTTGTAGTACATGAAACAAATACATAACACAAATAAAACCATACCTTAGATCCACATCTCAAAGTTAAAAAATACGTTGTCTTTAAGATATATAAGCTTGGTTAGATGGTTACTGAATTTAGATATACATTACATAAAGTATTTATTATCTAATTCTTTTATATTTGTTTATTACAGTTGTGAAAACATGGAAGTCACTTACCAAACAGGTAGGTTAAAGCTCTTGGTGTACATATGCATGCACATTATATATATGCGTACCCATTTTGGAAAATAGTTTAGCATTATCTACTAAAATTAAAGATAGACATACCCTGTACCTAGCAGTTCTCTTGGATCTCACTTTTGCAACAGTGCATATACATATACCTAGTAAAGTTTAACTTGAATATGCCCTATGATCCAGTAATTTTACACTAGTCTATATACCTAGAGAAACTTGTACATGCATGAAAGGTTCACGGGAATGTTATTAAGTTATTCATAATTGGCCAGAAAGACTATAATATAATATCAATAAGGTAAATAAGTTTTTATATATTCATACAGTGAATACTATACCAAGTAAAAACAAATGAATTATACTGGTGCTTAAGCTAGATGAATCTGGGAAACATAATAACAAGCAAATTCACAAAAACATAAATTATAGTTCCATTATATAAAGTCTAAAACTAGGAAAAAGAAACCATTTAAGGATGGATTCATAGGTGGGAAAACTAAGGAACAATGAATATTAAATTCAAGACAATATTTACCTCTGGGGAGATGGAAGGATATATCAGAAGTGCAAAGAGGCTTCCAAAGTACTGGTATTTTCTATTTTTTAACAATTTCTGACTTTAAATTATATATATGTGTGTGTGTGTGTGTGTGTGTGTGTGTGTGTGTATTCCTTTTGCACTTTTTAAATGTATAACCTTCAATATAAAAAAGATAAAAAACATTAGTATATCATAAAAAAAAAATAGTATGGCATTCTACAGTACTTCCTTAACCAGTTAAAGAGAATCTTCCTGGGACCCCTGGGTGGCTCAGTGGTTGAGCCTCTGCCTCTGGCTTGGGGCTTGATCGTGGAGTTCCAGGATGAAGTCCCACATCAGGCTTCCTGCAGCGAGCTTGCTTCTCCCTCTGCCTATGTCTCTGCCTTCTCTGTTTCTCTCATGAATAAATAAATAAAATCTTAAAAAAAAAAATTCTTCCAAAAGCCTATAATCTATAGCCGCTGATGTTTCTGTTTTGGGTTTTTTTTTTTTAATTTTTAAATTTAAATTCAATTTGCCAACATATAGTGTAACACCCAGTGCTCATCTGATCATCAAGTGTCAAACATGATGTTTTCATGTGAAACTTTAGAAATCCTCTTTAAAATTAGATAGAATACAAATAATGTCTGCTATCACAGCTATTACTCACTGTTTTACTATAAATCTAGGCTAAAGTAGTATAGTAAATTGCTGGGGCTGCTATAACAAATACCAAAGTTTAGGTGGCTTAAATCACAGAAACTTATTTTCTCACAGATATAGAGACTGGAAGTTCAAGATCAAGTTACTGGCAGGATGGGTTTCTTCTGAGGCCTCTCTCAGCTTGAGGATGGTCATTTCTTCCCCGTGTCATCTTCACACATCATTATTCTGTGCGTGTCTCTGTCTTGATGTCTTCTTATAAGGACATCAGTCATATTAGATTGGGACCCACCATAATAACCCCATTTAATAAACTTAATTAATCTTTGTAAAGGCCCTGTCTCTAAATATAGTCATGCTCAGGGGTACTGAGAATTATGCAAATGTAAACTTGAGGTAGACTTAACTCAGGCTCTAACGTGTAGTATGATAAGACAAAAGAAAGAGGTTCTAAGGATTGGGACAATAACTATGAGAGAAAAATATAAAAATGCATAGATTTCAAATTTATTCAAATTTAGTTTTACTAAACTTAGTAAGGTCACTGCTGGTGTTTCTGCATCAACAACAGCAGTTAGAAACTGTGCTATCAAGTATGACACTTCCCACAATTGCAACAAAAACTCTTAGATCTTAGTATACCTAACAGAAGATGTGCAAGATATTATTATATTTTTTAAATAATATAAGTATACAGAAATATATCATGTTCACTGATGATTCATTTGGAACCGTAAGGGCCCAGAATTTTCAGAACAATTCTGAAAAGGATGGAAGGGAAGCAAACAGATGAACATTAGGATGGGAACCATTGGGCCTGTCTCATATTAAGATTAATAATAGAGCTATAATTAAAATAGCATTATATTATTGCAAGAATTTTTTAATTAGATGAAAATAATAGAATATAGAATCCAGAAACAGACCCAGGCATGTATGGGAAGATCTATAAATCACTGGAGGAAAGATTGACCTTTAGGTATTGGAACAGTAGTCTTTCTAACATGGAGCTAAATAAAATTAAATATCAAACTGACCACCATATACAAAAGTAAATTTCAGATGGATTAAGTTCTTACTTTGACAAGCAAAAATTCTGAAATAATAGAAGTAAAATAAAGGATGCAAGAGGTTTCATTAGACAAGACACATATAGCAAAACTCAAAGGAAGTTTTGGAAAATTTTATTAAAGTAAATATCAAAAACTTTGGCATAAAAAGAGTGCCAGCAATATTAAAAGAGATGTGACAAATGGGAGAATATGCTTGCACTATATTAACAGAAAACATTAAATGTACTGTATTCGTATAAAATTCCTGTAAATTGATAAAAAAAAAAAAGGATGATCAGCTCAATATGAAAAAAAAAAGGTAAATGTAGAATGGCTGGTAAGTATATATAAAGAATCTCAAAAAAAAAAAAAAAAGAATCTCAACCTTACTAGTGATTAGGGATATGCAAACTAAGCCAATAATATACTATTTCACACCCATCAGATTATCAGCTTCCAGAAATCTAATACTACCAATAATTAGCAAGGAAGAAGAAGAACCAGGTGAGGGTGTAAATTTGCATATTCACTTTTCAGAGAAATTTAGCAATATCTAATAAATTTGAAAGTGTATATCAAAAAGTCTACTTCTAGAGAAGTATACTAGAGAAATATACCAGTAGTACTGTACACATTTTCTGCAGCATCAAATAATAGCCAGAATAAAAAAAAGAACATAAATGTCAGTCAGTGGAGAAATGAATAAAAGAATTGTGAAATAGGCATATCAAAGGCAAATTACAGGAATACAAAACCACAGTGAATAAATACATTTGAGCTATAGGAATCAACATGAATGAACCTAGAAGACTGAAGATTGAGTAACACAGCAAGTTGCAGACTGGCTCTTCTTAAAGTGCAAACACCTTTTCAGGAGTCCATGAAGTAAAAAATATTTTTATAATAACACTGAGAAGATACTTGTCTCATTACTTTCATTCTCTCACAAGTGTACAGTGTAGTTGTCTAGGCACTACGTGTTGAGTGATGGTATCATCACTGACACCTAATAGAATATATGTTTATACACTTCTACGTTTTAAAGATTTTTCATTTCAGGGTGCCTGGGTGGCTAGTTGTTTGAGCAGCCAGCTCTTAATTTCAACTCAGGACTGATTTAGGGTCCTGAGATCAAGCCTCGCATAGGACATCCTGCTCATGGAGTGTCTGCTTAAGGATTCTCGCCCTCTCCCTCTGCCCCTCCCCATGTTCAGTCTTGCTCGCTTTCTCTTTCTGTCTCTCTCTTTAAAATAAATAGGTCTTAAAAAATTATCATATCTACTTTCACATGCATTAAACACTCATAACCCACATAAACAGTATCTCCTTGGGTTCCATAATAATTTTCAAAAGTATAAAGAGTTACATTTCAGAACTGCTAATATTTTAATGGCTGTGTAGCCATTAAAATGAAATGAATATTTGGCAGGAAAATATGCCCATGAAGTATTAAGTGTAAAGAGTATGTTATAAAACAATATGTAGAAAATAATATTTGCAGCAACAACAAAAATGCTGTGTAATTATGCCTAGAGGAAGAATCAGACTAAAAGGATTTAAGTAAAACTTTCAATTATGGTTCATACCTGGATTATAATTAGCTTTTATTTTCAGTACTTGCTAATTTTCCTATAATGTATATATATTAACTATATAAGACAAAATTGTATTTATTTAAGACAATTCTATAAATCTTTTACAAGGCAACTATAATTCTAGGAAAATGAGTTTGACCCAGCAAATATTTATTTAGCACCAACTTGCAATACTACAAGTTAACTTTGATGCTAACCACCCAGAGTTAGTGTCAGACTCCACAGATGTACAGGCACAGTCCATACCAACACTGCCCTTATTTCAGATGCCAGCTACAAGTTCAAGGGTCCTCAGGCCACCCATGTTTCTGACCAACTAGCTACAAATCCAAGAGGCTCCCATAATTCCCCTTTAAATTCAGTACTTTGCTAGACTGATTAAAAATTCAGGCACGTTTATATTTATAATTAACAATTTGTAATTATTTTAAGGGACACAAACAGGACTAGCCACATAAAGAGACTCTGAGGACAGGTATAGGAAGATTCCAAACACAGACCTTCCATGCCCTCTCCCCATGGAGAGGTGTGTCACCCTTCCTGGCATGTCAGTATACTTACCAACTTGAAATCTCCACTGAGCTTGGGTATTGAGTTGTTATTGAGGGTTTCACTATATATATATAATTGAACTCAATCTCCAGTCTCTTTCCCTACCCCTCCCCAGAGGTAGGGAGAGTTCAGAGCCCCAATCCTCTAATCCCATGGTTGTTCTTTCTGGTGATCGGTAACCTGTCCTGGGGCATTCCATAACCTAAGTGTGATTCAGGGATATAGAGTCTTCCAGGAACCAGGGGCAAAGGCCAGTCAAATTATTTATTATTACACCACCACCACATGTAAGAGACATATGACGGGCTGGGAATGGGGAAAGAAATTCCCAGTCTGAGTGGAAATACAGATTTTAATACATTTTAAAACTTCTTAAAGCGAACAGAAGACAAAGATCAGTGTGTGTTAATTAGATAATCCAGACCAGAAGAAGCCAAATTATTACTAAAATAAACTGCTTAGTCAGTAAGGATCTGGCGAATAGTAGTTGTGTAACCCTGGGTGAGTTCTTATCCTCTTTAAATCTCAATAAAATATGCATAATGAGGATTGTTTTTTAAAACTAAATGAGAGATTGTATTAGCCCATTGTTAAACACATAGAGGGCACTCAGTCATAGGGTAGCTATGATTCTTTTGGTTGTAAACTGTAGTCGAGTTCAAGATAGAAGAGATGAAGTTGAATACATAGAAATAGTTAAAGTGGAGAAAGAAGTTAAGATTTATATAATAGATATGGTATATGTTAAAGTATATAAAATATATGCAGAATGTTCTTTTTAATCTGCTCTAACAAAAATATTTGAGTTTATTATTGTTTAAGCAGTAAATAATCTAGTTTCTCATCATTATTCATACCTGAATTCTTACCTCTGTACTATTGCTACTCTAATCAGACACTACTGATTGATAGCATCTGTTACTTGGAGTGCAGAGATAGATAGCATTATGAAGGAAATGAAAGCACAGTTCACAGATGGGCTTCAGGGAATCCATAAACTCCCTAAAAATACCTCTCCTGCTTTTGGCATTACAGGATTTCCTTATTTGCCTGTCAGACAACTTTGTAATAAAAAAAAAAAGGAAAGAAAAAAAATGGTTTATAATGTCACAGAACATTTTTAGATACAACCACATCAGGAAGGGTTTGTCTAAAGTGCTTCTCAAACTGGAATGTGCAAAAAAAAATCCCCCAGAGTTCTTGTTAAAAATACATATTCTGGTTCAGTAGATCTGAGATAGGAACTGAAATTCTGCTTTTCTAACAAGTTCTCAGGTTATGCCTGGGTTATTGGGGAACCTCACATTGAGTAATAAGAATCAGTTCTGGAAATAGAAATGGTTTCTAGTGTTTTTCAGTGGTTACTTAGCAAACTACCTTTCTTATTTCAACTTATTTCAATTTATCTCATCAAATCCTTATGAATTTTTCTTCACAATTAGCCAAAATATAATTTTCAGATAATTATTTTGTACTTAGTGTGCACAATAAATTCAAAATTCCTTTCGTATCTGAGCAATGATTCAAATGTTTAATTTTTCCAAAATAGTTTCCCAAACTGCTGTGGTAAATTTTGATTTAAAACAAAAAAGACTGACTAAGCAATTGAAGTCTGTATTCTTTATTGAATATTTAAGTTAAAATTAAAAAAAAAAGGAAATAGTTATCACAATCACTCAATACCCTTGCACTTGTACTTCATCTGATGTCAGCATTCTTTGAGTCACCACCAAAATATTCTTTATTCTTTCTCAATTTGATCTTCTGTTCATTTACTTCCTCTACAAAACTCCCTAAACCCAAGAGGGCTACAGAAAAGAGACAGCATGTGAAGCTAGGTCATCATCTCTGACCTTGATAAGGAAATCCAACATTACTTAACACTTTCATGAAACTATCCTTTTCTAACTGGTTTCTGAACTTAAACTTACTGTTTTATCTTAATTTTATCATTTTATATGTATTCCTCCAGTTGCTAAATTTATCTGAAATTTTTGGTAGCTCTAATTGAATTCAATGTTGCTTCTTTATAATTTATGTTTGGACTATGGGCAAATACTGGGTTTTGTGGTTAAACGAACCACACATATAGAATAGAATAAATATAACCATATCTCAGGTCTTTTAAGTGGAGAATTTTTTGTATAAGGCATTAAAAATTTTTTTATCTCTTTTATAAGTAAGTAGTTTACCTGTTAATCAATGTTATGATACCTTATGTTATAGGAATTAAATCAAATGCTCTCAGAAACACCACCAGTTTGGAAAGGATCATCAAAGCTTTTTCGTAATCTTAAAGAAAAAGGCAAGTTAACTTTAGTAGTTATACATTTTGAAATGGACGTTATATTATTTATACTCTTTATATATATTTTCCTTATATTTAAAATTGTTTTACAGTTACATATGTGTATATATGTGTGTGTGCATAGAGAAAAAACTGACAAGAAAAATACCAAAATATTAATGATTGTTTCTGGGTAGCAGGATTAAAGGTGGTTCTTATTTTTATATATATATTCATGTCTTTCAAATATTTTAGAAGAAAATGAACTTTTACTTTTTAAATGAACTGTTATAGCTACAAAAAATTATTTTTCAATCATTGAGCAGTATAGGATATATTTACTTACAGAAAGCATTTTTCAGGGCACTTGAGTGGCTCAGTTGGTTAAGCATCTGGCTCTTGTCCTAGGATTGAGCCCCACCCACATCAGGCTTCCTACTCAGCGGGGAGTCTGCCTCTGCATGTTGGATGCGTCTTTTGGTCACCCAATTTGAATATGTTTCTTTTCAAAATAACATGCACTGCAAAATCCACTTTTTCGACCTACTGTATGATCCATATTTATGTTTCTAAGCTCAGTCTTAATTCATACATTTCCTTGCAATGAGATTATATAGCTTTATTGCAGTTTTCTTTTACACTCTATTTTTCGTACATATTTATAGAAAAGACTAATTAATAAAATCTCTTTAATCTTAAAAAGGAATTTTTCTTGTAAATAAACTTTTTAATATTCTCAACTATGAGTATACGAAATAAAATGTATAAAAGAAATTATATAGTTAGCTTTTTCATTTTCATCGATTTTAATGGATATTGGTTTAAATATAATTATATATACTCTAGCATGAAAACAAATATTTTAAAGGAGTAGTTATAATCCATGTATTTTATCTGAGTAGAATTAGAAATTCAGATTGCTTCTACCTTTTTCACATGGAGTCTGAAAGGAGTAAACACCTTACCTTTTACTGTAGGCTTTTTATAAGTAGGTTTTTAAAATCTTTGTGAAATCAGGGCCATGGAATCTTTAAAGCTCTTAGAAGTTTTTTCCTGGAAGTTGTCTTTAAAGATTGTCATTCAAGTCTTAGAGTGGGATGATAGGATCAGGAAAATTCAAAGCTCAGAAAGATAAGTTAGCAAATTTAAAAATATTTAGTTAACACCTCTCATGGGAAAATACAAATTGGATCAAGTATAATCTGAGAAAAATAAATGTGTGGTTCTTTGTATTCAAAGAAAGGGTTAAATATGGCAACCCTAGGTTTAGGCTTGCCCTAATCTTTGTGTTACATGCATATTTGCAAGTTTTTTGGGGGAAATGATCTATTCAGTGCTATCCCACAGAATTACCTGTAGTGATGAAAATGTTCTATTTCTGTATTGTCTCCCATAGTAGCCACTAGCCAGATGTGGGCTTTTAAGCATCTGAAATGTGGCTACTGTAACTTAGGAACTGAATTTTTTATCATATTTAATTTTACTTGTTTTAAATTTAGATAGCCACATGTGACCAATGAGCTATTGAAAATTAATTTACAAATGAATTTTATCTGCTTAAAATATTACCCAGCAAGAAAATGTTATGCAGCTTTACAAAAAAGTAATTGATATGCAACATTTTTGAAGACATATATTACATAAACATAGTTATAACAGCCAACTGTAATGTATCATGATATAGGAACTAAATATGTTTTTAAGGAACTTCCCTTAGAACATTTTTTATTGCATTTTTAAAAGAAACCTAGTTGACATCTTTCTTACCCTCTTTCTCTAAAGATCACAACATTACTATATGCTTAGCATATGTATTTTTATTTTATTTTGATCTTGAGTGGCCTTAAATTGGAAGGTCAGTCTAATAGTTTTCCATTTTTGTAATTGGAGAGCATTAAGAATCTAGACAGTTCATGTCTAGTAATATTTTCTCTTTTCCTTGATCATTTTTATTAAATTATATCCTGAGTTTAACTTTGTTTTCCTTGTCTGTGGATTATACTACCCCAGAGACTATTTGGTCCTACAGACAAGTACCTGCCATGATAACTATGATTAGTACTCTAACTGTTAAATAATTATTCACTGAGGGAAATCTTGAGTCAATTAACAAATAAAAGATACATAGTGGTTATTAAACTTCTTTATACCAACCAGCATCTCTTTTGTATTCCATCAGGTTAGTTAGAACAACAGTCAGTGAGATGGATTGTAGTGACATAGAGCCCTTTTTCTAATCCTGTTTTCCTTCTCTCCTTTTTTCCTCCTTTCTTGTTTTCTTGTTTCCTTCCTTCCTCCCTTCCTCCCTCTCTCTCCTTCCTTCCTTACTTCCTTCCTTTCCTTCCTTTCCTTCCTTTCCTTCCTTCCTTCCTTCTTGAGGGATCCTATGGAACCTAGGTATTGTATCTTTATATACATTGACCATTCCAGAATCTTTCTCCCATAACATTCATGGCAGTCAACCAGAACTATCTGTCCATAGGTCACAATATTGTAGTATAAACAAAAGAAGGGAATGCTTTCAGAGCCTCTAGCCAGTTCCCTTCAAGTCTTCTGACAAACTGCCTGACAGTGACTCCTTTCTTTGTTCTGTAACAAAGAGGGGGTAGCCTAAAAGAACATCAGGTAAAATGGAGTTTCAAGGTTTATGATCTGATTACTTAAGGATTTTTGTATACCTTTTTACTGAACATTAAAATTATCTGATATCTGGAGAAGTGTTGTTGACTTATTCCTGATTTTAATTTTCTCAAGGTCCACCTGGAAACTCAGCTAAGCATTATTCTAGTTTTGGGTGTTACATCCAAAAGCAAGATTCTGAGTAACAGATTATATATTTGTATTTACTACAAACAAATGCCTTTTAAGCTTTGTAATTCTGGGATTACAGGGAATTCAGGATGCAATATTCAGAAAATGTAAGCCATTTAATTAAAACAAATATATCTTAGAGTACATTTGATAGAAGCATTAAGTTTGTCAAGAATAATAAATGGTAACTTGAAAGCAGAAAAGTGATAAATACAGTTTCATTTTTTTAATGCAATACAGAAATCTGATTTGTAAGCAAGAATATCTAAATGTTTTTTTCAAGAGTTACTAAGAAGTAATTAAGCACTTTAAACACTTTAACCATTTTCAACCTTTTTATGTTAGATTCATCCATTGACATAAGTTTAAAGTTAGTAAATAGTATAATTTTCCTTTCTTTGCCAATATATCTAGCAGCATTAATGGGAATTTTGCATGGGTTTCTACGGAGGCATTGTGAAACAAATCAAAGTTAATTGTGTTGCTTCTTTTGCTGTGATTTTATAATAATTTAGTCTTATTTAAAACAATACTTAGCATTTCTTTAAATAAGTTCCTTATTAATATTGCTTATTGTTATAAGAATAATATTTTACTTGATAAATATAAAGTAATATTTGAAATATAGCATTACTAATATTGTTTTTCTTCTAGGTGTGATTTCTTACACAGAATATCTTTTTCTTTTATGTATTTTAACAAGTAAGTGTACTCATTAAATCTACTTTTGGATAGTTTTCTTTTTAAATGAGAATCTTGCAAAATAAATCTTAGATTCTCTTACTATTGAAAATCACCTTGGGTTTATCCATGTTTATTTTGCAAAACTCATGTGTAAATGTTAGCAGCAAATGTTAATCATAACACTATTAAGAGTCGAAAACATAAATGTTTTTATGGTGTATTTATGCTCATAAATTATAAGCTTTATATCATATATCAGTTCTTGTGGTTTAATCTACATGAAAGTCATATAGGGATTTGTAAATTTCCTAGTACACTCATTGAAATCACATATTTCTTAAGACTAGCGTGAAAGAATGAGTCTTCTAACTAGCGAGTGTATCAGAATACCCATCTTACATCCTAAAACAGCTTTGTAATTCTCTGCCTTTTGTACGCAGCAATTTTTATGAAATATATGAAGGGCTTACTAATGTTTTCAGTTAAATTTCATTGCATTTAATGCAGGAACTTACTTGCTACTGTTGACTGTGAGGCAGCCACCTGGCTTTTCTTTTCCTTGAATTCTCACCTCAGGAATTTGTCCTTTCTGCTCCCCCTGCCATCAGTGCTTTTTCCTCAAGAGCCTCATGATAATAAACATTATTCAGGTTTCCTTTGAATGTGAAATAGGGACCTATTTTGACAGTCCTCCCTAAAATGGCTCCCTCTCTTACCTCTCCCTTTTTTATCCCTTTACCCTGCTTAATTTTCCTCATAGCATTTAAAACTATTTGAAAATATTTGTTTTTTTGGTTTTCATGTTCTTGTCTATCTCCCCATACTTGAATGCAAAGTCCATGATGGCAAAGATTGTCTCCTTTTTGTCCATCTCTGTATCAATAACAGTGTCTAGCACATGGTAGCCTCTCAAAAACCAGTTGGTAAATGAGTGAAAAAAAGAATAAATGGAAGAATATCACTAGAGGGATTTCTGTTTGTGGGGATTTGTGGAGATGTATGAAAATACAAATTATCAGTGAAACTCTGTCATTAGAAACAAGTCCTAAAATTCCTTGTACTTCTAGGATTAGTAAATTAAGAGCCATTGTGTTATTCTGAATTTAGTAATAATTGTTATGTTGGAGTTCTATTATGGGAAGTTTGGGGAATGTACATTGTGCATATGTATTTCAAAAATTATCATCCTTTATTTTTTTCTTGTATTTTTTTTTCTCCTGGACTCAAAATGAAATTAAAATGTTGGTGCTGAAGAACAAGAAGCATTGGTGCAGGTGGTAATAGCACTATCTGAGGTTGTTCCAGACTAGAAGACACTATGATTCAAGGATAGTCAATGAGGAATATGCCTTGAAAATTAGAAGAGTGCCAGGGAGTGTCTCAGAGACTTGTTAAAAAATTAATGTTATTAGCTATAGAACAACTTTGGTTTATAAAACTCTAAGTTTGAAATACCTAAAGCAGCAGAGTGACTGGCAAGAATATAACAGAACTGGTTAGGAAAACCATTTGTTGAGATGCTACAGGGTCTGGTTAAGAGTGCTGGAAAAAATACATGACGGTTTTGCTTATATGTAAAGGTTGGGATCTTTGAATGCAGTGAATCTTCCTTTGGAGTTCAGGACCCATTTGAGAAACTTCTGGGAATTTGAACCAAAAAATTGTAATGTCTTTTAGAGTAGAACCAACAGAAATGTGAAAACAGAGCGGGTAGGGAGTGGGCTAGAGAATCCACCTTACCTGTCTATGGTTCTTTCTTCTTTGCTTTTTATTGTTTTAACTTCATTTTCCCTTCCAAACAGTGCTTGTAAGGACTTCTTTTCATTGTATATTTTAAAGACCATTTTAAAGCTTAAAACTGGGTTATCAGAGGTGATGAAATGTTTTCTTTCTTAACTGAATGCTAATGAAAAAAAGTTCAGTTACTAAACTATATACAAGAAATGAGCTTGCATATAAGACTGGCTTCTGTTTCCATTATTTTCAGAGACAGTTATTACCGGTTAAGAAAGTAGGATTACATGCTTCTCTTTTGCTAGCTTCAAGATTTTATGACAGGTAATACCAAATGTATCTGTGGGACGCCCCTTTTAAAAACTTTTTGCCAGTCATCTCCAAAGAAAGGGTCAGAAGGGCACTTAGGTGGATCAGTCCCCCTTAAGCTACTGACTCTTGGTTTTTGGCTCAGGTCATAATCTCTGGGTCTTGAGATTGACCCCTGCATCAGGCTCTGCCTCAGCACAGATTCTGCTTGAAATTCTCTCTCCCCCCCCTCCTGTGCCCCTCCCCACCTCATGCATGCATATGCACATGGGTGTATGTGTGTGTGTGTGTGTGTGTGTGTATGCACTATCTACCTCTTTCTAAAATAAATGAATGGATGAATTCTTTAAGAAAAACAAGGGTCAGATGTTTCTCAAAGGCATGTGCACTGAGCTCTTCTTTGAAGGACATGTTCAAAGTTTCTTCTGTTCAGATTTTCTTCTTTATGCTTTAGAAGGGATAAAGGGATTGACCCTCATTATAAGGTTCATAAAATTAAAGCAGTCCTTAGTGTGTAAAAGTATGTCTTTCTCAGAAAAGCAATTGTTCCTTGTATTTTGGGGGAATTGAGAATTATTCAAGCCTTTTTTATGTTTCTGTTTCTGAAGCTTCTAGAAGTTTAAACTCAAATATGTAATCTCTTATGCTTGACATTTATTTTCATAGGTCATTTCCATTCTGATTTTCCTAAGAATCAGGACTGGACCATTGTGTCATATTTTTATTCTTTTGTTCTAAGTGTTGAACATAAGTGATGATTTGATATTTCCCTTTTAAACTGACAAACTTGGGTAACAAAAAGAAGTATTTATTTTTAGAAGTAAGGTAGTTAAATATTACTGTCTGTGCTCTGCAGCAGGTATCACACGAATGCTTTCAAAGTGTATTATCAATTTTGTTACTAAGTATGCTAATAAATGAAGCAGAAATATATATATATGTGTATATATATATATATATATATAGAGAGAGAGAGAGAGAGAGAGAGCAGCGCGCGAGAGAGAGTGCTTTTATTATATTTAACTATTAGTAACCTACTGCTTTTAATCTCTTGGTTAAAGAAAGTATTTTTGTACAATTAACTCTTTACAATTGTACTTTAAATTTTTTTATTTATTTATGATAGTCACACAGAGAGAGAGAGAGAGAGGCAGAGACATAGGCAGAGGGAGAAGCAGGCTCCATGCACCGGGAGCCCGACGTGGGTTTTGATCCTGGGTCTCCAGGATCGCGCCCTAGGCCAAAGGCAGGCGCTAAACCACTGCACCACCCAGGGATCCCTACAACTGTACTTTAAAAACATTTTTCCAGGGACGCCTGGATGGCTCAGCGGTTGAGCATCTGCCTTTGGCTCAGAGCATGATCCCAGGATCTGGGATCGAGTCCCACATCGGCCTCCCTGCATGGAGCCTGCTTCTCTCTCTGCCTATGTCTCTGCCTCTCTCTCTCTGTGTCTCTCATGAATAAATAAATAAAATCTTAAAAAAAATTTCCATTTCACAAGTACTTTTCTATTCTTTCTGGCAGAGCCACATGCAGGTTTTAGAATAGCTTTCAACATGTTTGACACTGATGGCAATGAGATGGTGGATAAAAAGGAGTTTTTGGTGGTATGTATATTAAATGCTGCATTTCATCAATAGTTAAATATTGCTTATTTATATTCTTATGTTTTTGCATCATTTGGAATAATGTTGTAGAAGGAAGAGTGAAAAATTTATGCTTTCACCTTAAAGAAGTATAGTATTGTGTACTTTAAATAATTTTATATTATAAAAATATAAATTGTACCCATTATATAAAGATGATTATACTTGTTTACATGTTTTCTGAACATTTGAAATGAGTCAGATACTTTCCATTGGGTGGATACAGGCCATTCAGAGAGGTGGTATATGCTCAGTTAGACTCAAACCCCATCGTATCAGCCCCCAGCCACAGCTCTGCCACAGAACTTCCTTTCTTCCTCATAATAGGATTTGTGATTTTTCTTTCTGCTTTTCTCTTCCACTCATGACTGCCTTACATTCCAGTCTTGTCACCATTTTGCTATTCCCTTCTCTTATCTTTGAACAGGGGTGATCTAAAGTGAGGAGAAATAAGATGGTTCTTAGCTATCTACCTATCTACCTTCAGTCTTTCTTACCTGATGGATTCAGCATTGGTACTTGTTTGGCAACATCATCTCACTGCTCACAGCTCACTCATCTTGCCACTCCCCCTTCCAGAATTTTTCTATTCCTTTTACCCATGGAACAAGCATCTGCTTGTGTGACAAAATGCCTATTCTATTTTTTCTCCGAAGAAGAGATCCTTACAGCAACAAGTCCTACCCTTAGCATTTATGTTCAACTCTGTTTTTACCTGTATTTCCTAATAAAGAGAAAAGGGAAAGATAGTAAATAAATAGCCATTTTATTTATTATTTTCCTTTGTAACAAGCCATTAAAAAATCCCTCAAAAAAAACCTCTTAAACAGCTTACTATTTTCCTCAGAGGCTGGAATGTGGAAGAGAAACTATGAAATCATGGTTTTCTGTGGTAGGAAAGGAAAAAGATCAAAATCTTTGTCATAGCTAATCAGTAGCCATTCAAAAGGAAGCCAGCAGATTAATTACTGGGATCTCTCAAATGGCTTGCTCTAATACCCATGTAGCCCTTGCCTGAGGACAGTACCTAAGCCACACAATTAGACATAGAGCCATGAAGGGCCCTTCATTTGAGTGCTTTTCAGGATGGTGGGGAGGTGAGAGTTTCCAGTTTCACTGCAAAATAGACATATGTTCCTAACATGCTAAAATACACAGATTTAACTTAATATAGTTTTGTTATAATAGCATAAAACTTTAGGTCTTTCAAAATGGGCCTAGTAATCTAAATGATTTTTAATAAATTTTCTGTGGCAACACTGCCAAGTTCTACCCCATCGACTAACAGAGTAACTTTTAGAACTCAGTCTGCTGAAAGATGCCTGTATAGACGCCATTTGGAATATTGTCTGTTTGTGGAGATAGGAGGTAAAAACATTCATAGAGAACTTCTGTTTCCCCTTTATACTCTTATAAAAAGCTGCAGTGTACTCTTTGGAGTGGCTATACTGCTGCCTTTGTAAGTCATTTTTTTGTTTGCTTGTTTGTTTGTTTTATTTGTAAACAGCAAAGAATTCCTTGAAAGCAGGGGGTAGAGTTGAGCTTACTTCCTCATAGAGGTCTAAAATCTATGATTCTCTTGCCTATTTATAAAATGTTTATTAATAACCTTTGCTATAAAAACTCTTTTCACGAAGAAAAAGTATGAAAATAAATATATTTGTTAATAATTTTTATTTTGTACTGTATTTGTGTCATTACTGTCTTGGGAGATATTACATTTTATTTGACTTTCAAGTATTGCCATACAAAATGAAACGAGTTAAAAATACCTATTCAGGGGATCCCTGGGTGGCGCAGCGGTTTGGCGCCTGCCTTTGGCCCAGGGCGCGATCCTGGAGACCCGGGATCGAATCCCACATCGGGCTCCCGGTGCATGGAGCCTGCTTCTCCCTCTGCCTGTGTCTCTGCCTCTCTCTCTCTGTGACTATCATAAATAAATAAATTAAAAAAAGAAAAACCTATTCAAGTTACACAGCCAAGAACAGCAACCTCACCAGAAAGCTGTGATAGAGGATTAGGCTTCCATATGTAAAATAGGATTTTTTTTAAAGATTTTATTTATTTATTCATGAGAGACAGAGACAGAGAGAGAGAGAGAGGCAAAGACACAGGCAGAGGGAGAAGCAGTCTCCATGCAGGGAGCCTGACATGGGACTCTATCCCGGGTCTCCAGGATCATGCCCTGGGCTGAAGGCGGCGCTAAACCCCTGAGCCACCCAGGCTGCCCATAAAATAGGATTTTAAAGAGGAAATAATACCATTGATAATATAGCTGACATGTCTTGAGTGGTTACTATGTGACAGGCAATGTGCCTGAGTAACTATCTGTAATATTTACTCTGCACAACATTCTTACAAGATTTGTGATTATGCCTCAGTAATAATGAAGAAAACAGATATTCTTCTGAAGTAAGGAATTATCTCCATGTTCCCAAAATGGAAAACAATCCCTTGAATAATTAGAGTAACTTACTTAGGGGGTTATACGCAGAGCGCATGCTTCCACCACAATGTACAGTTACCTGAAAGGGACTTTAGAGGGCATCCTCATTTCATATATGAGTACATTGGAGCCTCGTAAGGCATGAATGACCTGTCCACCATCATAAAATTAGCATGTGACAGAAGATGGGCTCAAACCTAGAGTCCCTGAATTCTATTCCAGTGTTCTTTATACCCCAGTAGTCTTCATCTCTTATTTGTGTTACAGATTCCCTGTCTTTATGTCTTAGAGATAAAGCTATAATTGTGTACATTTAACTGAACCATAGGCTGCCAGTTGCAAAGGGTGTGTTTTCTTTTTCTCAGGAAAAAAAATTGGTATCAGAAAATGTATCTATAGTAGTTTTAATGTGCTTGGTAGATGAAGCTAATTCTTTTAGAATATATACATAGCAGAGAGGTAAGTAGGTACCAAGAAACTCGCTGGATATTTTATTTGTGATCACTTTCTTTTTCAGCTTCAAGAGATATTCAGGAAAAAAAATGAGAAGAGAGAAACAAAAGGAGATGAAGAAAAACGTGCAATGCTGGTAAGAATAATTTATAGTAGTTTAAGGTGGGTTTTCTAGCTGAGAATTATTTTATTCTTGTTGGGAAAGAATATTTAAAGTCTGTAACTTTGGTGCTGTCCCTTTCAGGAAAACTTCCTAAAGTTCTTACATAGAAAAATTGCTTCAGATTTATATGCATCTGTATCAATATTATATCAAATATTGATATTAAACATCTGTGTCTGTAATCACACTCATTATATCATTTTCATCCATATTGTTGTTAACCATGAGATTTGAAGGGTATATCATATAATAGATTAATACAGATCATTATGCATGAAAAAATTTAAAGGTGAATTGCAAAGATTTAATTATGTATGTGAGTGAATTTAGTGGCACTATAGCCATATGAATGTCGAAGCAAAAACAAGGAAATAGTGTTTCTTTGAATTCTTAGAAATACAGGCTCTTCACGGATGAGTAATGTTTTCAACTTATTCTGAAGGTAGAGTTAAGCAACATTTCCCACCATTTTCCTACCAGTTTTCTCTTTGTCCCATATAGTTCAGCCTGATAGTATCCTAGGTTCACATAATAAAAATAACAAACAGGTACTGAGATCTTACTATCAGGGACTGTAGTAGATGATTTGCATGCATTTAACTTGCCAAAAATTCTGTTATTATCTGTAATTATGGAAAAGCCAAGATTGGAGTCTAACCTGGGCAATTCCCAAACTGTACTTTTACCCATTATAACATATTTTTCATCTGGTACTTACTTAGATAGCAGAAATACAGTTTTGTTGAGATGTAAATGATAACTGTTTCCTTTGCAAACTAGTGGCTCTGTACAGTTTAGTTGGTCTACTTGGAATTCAAATAATTAACTTCAGAGAGTTGCAACATTTTTTATTATTTTCATTGTTGTAAGGATATGTAATAAGTTTTTTAAAAACATGGATTATCTGTAGCAAATGGTGCCATATTCAATCCTAATAGATTAAGTGTGTATTTATATTTATATTAATAAAATCAGATGATCAGGATGTGAAATACCTATTTTTCATAGGATTTTTGTCTGTGATATAGTTATCAATATTTGTTAAGCCACCCCCAATATTCTAATTGACAAAGCTTATAGAAGACACTCAAAAAATCAAAGAGCTGCTTATAATGTTAGCCAAGGATTAAAAGGAGCATTTCAAGTTCTCTAATTCAGGTCTCATGGTTTTCAAATTATAATCAATAAATCCCAAAGGAATTAACCCCATAATGCCATTTTTTAGAGTATTAGCAAACAACAATGGAGAATTAAATACCTTCAGAAATTTTGTTTTCTGTAGATAACATACTGAACGAGTAAGCAATTATTTTAATTTTGATAGATTAAATATACTTAACTGGATAAACAAGTTGTTAATAAAACATGAACTATGTTAATTAATCTTTTGATATACCTCAGTGATAGAATAGATTATATTTCAGTGGTAGATAGAAATTTAATTTTTGTAATTTAAGCATAATTGAAACACAATTTTTACATTAGTTTCAGAATATTTATTTGTTTATTTATGCTACTTCCAAAAAGGAGTTATGGATCTTTCAGGAAAAACACAATACTGTTCTAATCTTTAACATTTACTAATATATACATAAATCAAGTAACAAAGGGAGAGAGGAAAAGGAGAAATGATAGCAGACAACCCATGTTGGGAAAAGTTACAGTGTCAGCACAAAGCTGGTCTCTGAGCTTTAGGTAAAGTTAATGCTGATTTAATGCAAATAGTTCATAATAGTGATACAATAAAACCTCGCTAACTTGGATTAATTAGGGAAAGTCTATCTGAATTATGAAATTTAAATTATATTAGCATACCCTAAATTGTATAATTTTATATGTATATAGGTCAGTGAAGCATTCTCTAGTAAATATACGGAGGAGACTTTTTTTTTTTTTTTTTTTTTTTATGATAGTCACAGAGAGAGAGAGGCAGAGACACAGGCAGAGGGAGAAGCAGGCTCCATGCACCTGGAGCCCGATGTGGGATTCGATCCCGGGTCTCCAGGATCGCGCCCTGGGCCAAAGGCAGGCGCCAAACCGCTGCGCCACCCAGGGATCCCCAGGAGACTTGTTTTAAAAAACAAAAATAATTTATAAGTAATATACTGTATAATTTGCTTATATGTAAAGAAATGCTTCCTAGAGACATTGATCTGCACAGGTTCTCATAGTGTTTATCGTACAGTTTAATTAGTGCACCTGAAATTTGTTTACATAATTTAGCTATTAAAACAATTACTTAAAACAATTCAGAAATAATTTTTAGTACAGCCTCTGAACTAAACAAACAACATTCTAAGACAGTACAACTCTCTACAAATATTTTTATTATGTTTAACAACATTGATAATTAGAGGTAACTTATTGTTGATTATTGCCACATTTTAAATAATGCAAATCTGAACTGATGAGATTTTTGAGTTTTTAAACAGTTGATATTTGGCTTATAGTGAAAATATATAGATTCCATTAGGGAGACAGTGTAGCACAGGCTCAGGAGCCAGATTTTCAAAGTCTGAATGTTAGCTCTGTCATTCATTATCTGGGTGACCTTGAACAGGTCCTAACCTGCCTGTGCCTCAGTTTCTTCATTTGTGCAATGGGGATAATAGTAGTAATGACCACATGTGATCGTTACAGGGATTAAATGAGCTAAAACATGTAGCCACTTACCAGTATATGCTTCAGAAGGAAAGAAGGCAACATAACATTTCTGAGACACTCTGTGCTATATCCATTATAAATGTTACTCCCATGTAGTCCTCATTACATTTCTGCCAGGTAAGTATCATACCTGTTTTGCAGATGAGAAAGCCATCTTAGAGAAGTTCATTAACTTGCCTAAGATCACAGCACTAAAAATAGAACAAGATTCCACTGCAGATCTCTCATACCATTTCCACTGCCATGCTGCTACATCTAGATTTTTCCCCTAACCCGTATAGAATTGCTGAAGCATGTCTAAATGGAACTGTGTACTTCAGAGGAATGTTTTACTCAAAGCAATAGTTCTATCAGAAAGTTAAAATGAAAATGGTTGAAATGAGCACAAATTCATTTAATATTTAATTATATGAGATTTGAAAACTTTGCTACTCATCTTTAACATTTATCCCACTTGTGTGTGTGCTCTATATAGAATGTAGCATAATGATTTGCCCTTCCTAATTGATTATTTTGTCGTCTTTTTCTTTTTTCTTTTGCTATACTTGGGTTCATTCTGAAATGTGACACTTCATTTGGCCCTTTGTGCTCTATGTCAGCGTCTTCAACTTTATGGATACCATTCTCCTACTAATAGTGTATGTACAATACTTTAAATGTTCTTTATGTAAATAGCCCTCACCTGTTATACTTATAATGCTATTTCTTTATATACAGCTATATCTGCTATTGAGAATGTTTAGGAATTTATTGAATATGATAAGGTGCAGCCAAGCCAAAATTTTTATTTCCTTCCTAGACTTATGAGAAGAATAAGATTTACAGAGCAATTGTGTATTTTTAACTTTAGATTAAAATAAGGAAAAGCTGAGTGAACAACAGCTAGAAGCTCTGGTAAAATAATCAAAATTTTATATTTTTCAGCAGTTTTTGAAGAGTTAAGTACAAATTATGGAGCAGATTCTCAGGCTATGCTCCTGCAGAACACAGGTATTTTAAGATCTAGATCTTTCCATCAGATATAGTCTTTTCTCAATTCTAATAAAGAGAATATTAATAGATAGACTTTTCTTAGTCATCAGTATTTCTGCAAAATTTTTCTAAAATTTTTGATTCCTGGATACTGCCTGTGGTATATACAGAAGTCTGGTATGATACCTGATATGTTTAATATATCAGTGTATCATGTTATTTCGCAAAGAGGATTATGATTTTCAGACTCTTCTTTTCTTGAAAAAGTTGAGAGTTCCTGCAAATGATCTTCCAGATATACTTATGCTAAGGTTTCTTCTTCTTTCCTTCTTCCTGGAAAGTCAGAGCTTGTTGGTTAGCCCAGCTACTAAACAACTGAGAATAGGCCATAGCCCCTTTTGTATGTAAATGTGCACAGTTCATTTAATTTCCCCAGGATCCTTAAGTCACTTAGAAGGATCTTTCAAATTATAGAAACTCCCTCTGAGAGAAGCCCTTGAATTCAGGTTTACTGACTCAGTGTCCTGCCGAAAGTGTTATAGTATCCAACTCTACAAGCAGGTATGCTGTCTCCTATGTTAGAGTTAATCAAAATTCCAAACAATAAAATTAACTCTGTCCTAGATTTGAACATACATTGGAGAATGATTCAGCAAAAAATAAACCCAAGTTATCTTGCTTCAGTCACAAGGAATGGACCTAGAACACGTTGGAGAATAAGCCAAGTCCATGAGACCCTTATGACTGAAACATAATTGATACCTTACAATTACTTTGAACTTATACAGCAGAATTCATTACTGTTTTCCATTAGATAAAGTCTGCCATTTTCTTAAAGATTTTAATGTTCCTCTATTAATCATTACAAAAATTTGTAAGAATGTATAAAATGAAAATCTGATTATAATGCCATATGCCCTCTAACACTTAATAAATGTTAATAATACTTGTGAGTTTATTACTTAATCTTCTAATTTCGTGTGTCATTGCATGACCCATTTTTCCAACTGGCATTTTATATTTTTCCTTTAAATGCAAATAATTTTCATATAGATGATTATGCAGTTATTAAACATATACATTCCAGAGTATTATTGTTAAAAGGAAACAGGTACTAACATAGCTCTAGTTTAATTTACATATACAAATTGCAGTCACTCAGACAGTAAGAGAATAATATTAAGCAGATTTAAATTGCCTATTTCAATTATATTGTTTGCTTATTTAATAGGAAAGTAAATATATGATTTTACATTTTATTGTGGTAATGTTTGTTTATTTTTATTTTTTAACTGAAGACATCATTTTTCCATCTAAGAATATAAAACACATATTTTAAGGAGATATAACCTGATGTCATTTTAAATGACACCATCTTATTATTAAATGGATTACATGACTTTTCAACTCCCTTAGGGTTTACTTGGTTATATATACTGACTTGTTTTTTCCTCTAATAGAATGATTTTTTGTTCAGAAGGAGATGATTATTAAAAAAAAAAAATTAAAAATGGAAGCACCAAGGGAAACTTGTTTAAAATTAGAAAAAAATTCAGTTGGCCCCAAAATTTATATGAAATACCATGATATCCATATTGCACAAATATATTAGTACAATGTTACATATTAACTGGTAGTTATGTGCTGGTTTCCAAAATTGTAGATCAACTGTAGTGTCAAAGTATCCAATGCGAGTACAGATCCTAGAGCTGAATATAACCTAAGATTCTACTGTTAGGAAGAAGTTCCTAGTTTCTAGTTCTTTCCTGAAGTTCATTCAGGAAAGGTAGGGACCCTCCTGACTTTGACTATAGAGAGGTTCTGTGGCCTTTGCAATAGCCTGTTAGAAAATTTAATCACTCTTACAGGAGCTTCTGCCTGTATTATGTCAAATTATTTCTTGGTAGAGTGTAAGGTTGAACATTCTCCTTCATATCTATGAAGATAGTTAGTTACCTTATAGCCTTTTCTGTTGCAAACAACCGTGATTCTTCCCATATTTCTCATATTCAACTTTTGATTATCTTGCCACAGCAATGAAAATAAGTATAAAAAATTCAAAAGAATAAATAGTGCAGAGTCAAGTATATTTTACTTTGAAATGCCCTATATGATTTCTTTAAGTTTTTTAAAGATTATTCTAATTACCGTAATTCTGTTGTAATCAGAAAACATGCCAATTTTTATACAGTTTTCAACATGTGTTGAGACATGTTTTATGGACTAAGACAATGTCTGTGTTTGAAAAGAATGTGTATTCTCCAACTGGGGGTATAGGGTTATATTGTTAAGACCAAACATGTTAATACAGGTTTTAAACCTGTATCATTAATGTTTTTGTCAGCTTGATCTGTTAATTAGTATGTTAAAGTATACATTACAGTGATAGACTTGTTAATTTCTACTTAAAATTTTGTTATTTTAAATTTTTTATATATTTTGAAGTGTTGTTATTGCCTAATATAAGAAGACAGATCTCTAGAAATGTTTTTTTTGCCTAAAAATCAATATAGTTGTCAAAATAAATATATCAACTTTATTTTTATTAATATTTTGTAATTTCTATTTTATTTTTTCTCTAATAATGATGAAACTTTCTCTTATTTTTAAAATACACTTTTTAGTTAAGAAATTTACTGCAAACAAAATATAAATATAAACTAAAGAATAATAAAAAACCCTCATATATATCAATAAATAAAACATTGGCATGTCCCCAAATGCCCCTTCATAGGTCTTTCTAGTCATAATCCCTCCTTCTCCTCCAAAAGATAACCACAATCATTACTTTTATATAAATCACTTTTTTGCTTTGCTTTGGGGTTTTACCACCTACTTAATGCATCCTCCACAATATTAGTTTTACCCATTTTTGTGCTTCATACAAATGGAATAATATTATATGAATTTTTCTGTTCTTGCTTCTTTGACACAACCATCAGGATTGTCAGTTTCATATGCACTGTTGTATCAAATCCTAGTTCACTTAATTTTTTTACTGTAACAACAGTTCTCAAGCATTCTGTTCTCTGGATCCCTTTACATTCTTGAAAAGTATAGAGGACCCAAAAGAGTTTTTATGTTGGTTGCATCTATATTTATCACATTAGAAATTAAAAGAGAAATTTAAAAGTATTTATTAATCTGTTTAGAAATAATAAATTCACAAGCTAGATATTTTTTATGAAAAATAAGTTTAAAAATGTAGTGAAGAAAATGGTATTTCACATTTTTTGCAAATCTCTATAATGTCTGGTTTAATAGAAGAGAGCTGTTTCTCATAGATGTTTCTGCATTCAGCCTGTTGCAACCTGTTATTTTGGCAACAAATACTATCAATTGTTGGCCTGAAGTGACAGGCTCACTTGGTTCATTTTCACAAAAATGCCTGTCAGCTACCAAAGTCTGAATAACTACAGTTTCTCTAGCCGTTGTTCTTGCAAGTAAAAATGACAGTTCATGAAATAAATGACTAGTTCATCCTGCAAAACAAACCTTTGCACTAATGTTTTTTTCTCAAGACAACCATCATACTTCAGAAGACAGAAGTGCTTTATGTATGTTTCTAGTTTTATCACAATAAATATGAAAAATATGTGTGCTCAAAGGTTAATTTTAAAAATTGTAAGTTTTATTCTTTAGCAAGTACATTCTTAAGTGTATTTCTTTGATGTGAGTATATGGAACTGAAGAATGTAATGATTTACATAGAATGTAATGATTTGTCTTTGATGCCATTGCTGTCACTGTACTAAGGCACCAGCAGTTTCACCCACCACACCAGCAATCAACACAGTACCAGAGGCAAATAATGTCTTTATGATACTTCTAAAAAGATATCTTTTATATTTTGCCCAACCTTTTCAGTTATTGTCAGTGAGAAGGTCAGTGCTGTTTACTATCCTGTCATTCATTAATAGAAGTCTGACCTATCTTTTCAGCCTCTCTCCTTATATCCAGATATGTCTTCTTTAAAGCATATAATCTGTGTATTTTATTGGTTCTTTTTTATATGGGATGATAATTTGTACTTTTTAATTTGACAAATCCAGTCAATTTACATTATTGTGACTATTGATTTATTTGGATTTATTTTAGCCATTGTGTATACTCTTCTTTCTTACCTTCTTTTGAATTAACTAAGATTTATTTTTACTCTTTTCATTTTCCTATTAGTTTAGAAGACACTCATTATATTTCTATTTCTTGTATAGTTATTCTTGAAATTTTAATACTAAGTATACTTAAAATAATGAAGTCTCTCACTAAATAGACTCTATTTCACCTCTTCCTTAAAAATAGTCTTACAGTGCTTTGATGTCTTTCATTCTCCTGGCAGGGATACTTGAGGTTATACAATATTTTTTTTTAAAATCTCAGAAACTAGATTTCTTAAATATATAGTATCAGTGTTAGTTTAGAATTACATATTTGCCATTTCTTAATCTCCTTTTTAATCTCATTCTCTCCTAATTTTTACAATATTAATCTCAGAACATATATCCTCAAGTGATGTTCTTTCTGGAAATACTTTATTTCGCCCTTATTTTTTCCCAGTTGTATTGAGATATAATTGACATATAATACTATATCAGTTTAAAGTGTACAACATAATTTGATATGTATATATATTAGAGAATGAGTACAACAGTAAGTTTAGTTGATCTCTGTCACTTCAGATAGTTACAAATTGTTTTTCTTCTGATGAACACTTTTAAGATCTACTCTCATAGCAACTTCCAATACATAGTACAATATCAACTGTAGTCACCAGGCTGTACCTTACATCTCCAGGACTTACTTATAACTAGAAGTTGGTATCTTTTAACCATCTTCATCCACTCCTCTACCCCTCAACCTGCTTCTAGCAACTACCAATCTGTTCTGTTTCTGTGAATTCATTTTTTATCTTTATTTATCTGTGCCCTTATTTGGGAAGATAATTTTACTAGATATTGTAGTTTGATATTTATTTTCAGCAAATTATATCATTCCAGTCTTCTGGCTTCTGTTATTGAAATTGAAAGGTAAGCTCTGAATCTAATTATTTTGTACTTAATCTTGTTTTTCTTTCTACCTACTTTTAAGATTCTGTTTCCTTTGGTATTCTACAATTTTATTACAGTGTATCTGTCTTTTGGCTTTTATTTATCATGAAATTTATCAGGCTTCTCAAGTATGGGTATTGTTTTCTTTCATTAAGTCTTGGAAATTCATTGCCAATATCTCTCTGGATATAGTTTTTTTTTACCATTTTATCTGTTACTACTTTCTGGAACTTTCATAGACATTCATGTTGTCTTCTATGTCTCTTAACTTTTCTTTAATAATTTGCCATATTTTTATCGTCACATTGCATTTTTGTATAACTTATTCATGTTACATTCGTGTTCACTAATTTTCTCTCTAGCTACATGTAATAAAATACTAAGCTTCAGTGGTTCCATCTTTAATGTCCAGAGGCTTTATTTAGTTCTTTTTCTGATCAGCCAACTAATTTTTGGTAGTTTGTTTTTACTAAAAAAATCCTTTCAAATACAGCTTCATATTCTTTAAGCTTATTAAACTTATTTTATATTCTATACCTAATAATTTCAGTATCTGAAGTTGGCAGGTCTTCTATTTTTGTTTGTTTCTGTTGGTTCTCACTTATGGTGGTTTATGCTCTTCTGTGTTTAGTAATTTTGTATTTTGAGCATGTATTTGTTGGAATGTGTCTGTGGAGACTCATTACGGACTGGGTTAAGGGTGTGTTTTTTTCCAGGAAGGGTGTGTGGTGTGTGTGTGTGTGTGTGGTGTGTGTGTGTTTCTGTGGAAAATTGCAGTTCTATGTAACTTGAAATTACAAGTCTCAGATTATAGTTTTCCAGGCCACAGGTGTCATAATGGCACAGATTATACAAATTTTTTTATTGTTTGTTTTTAATTTTTGTGTATGTGTTATTTGAGCATCACTAATAGTAAAGACAGTTTACTCTCTGGTTCTCTGGGCTTCTGTTTTGTTTTTGTTTTCCAAGCCTGCCCAATCTCTGAGTATAATCTTTCCCAGATACTAACTGTAAATTGGGTATTTACCTCTTCAGGGAGCCATTATTCTGCTTACCACAGTGATAATATTCCCTTCTTGAAATCAGTCTTCTTTTTTCCTAACTTTGTTTTCTCTTCCGTCTTTCCTGTCTCTCTTTTATTTCCTTTCTTCCTTCTTTCCTTCTGTTTTAGTCAATTCATGTTTTTATAATAAAAATACCATAAACTGAGTGGTTTATAAAGAACAAACATTTCTCGGGATCCCTGGGTGGCGCAGCGGTTTAGCGCCTGCCTTTGGCCCAGGGCGTGATCCCGGAGACCCGGGATCGAATCCCACATCGGGCTCCCGGTGCATGGAGCCTGCTTCTCCCTCTGCCTGTGTCTCTGCCTCTCTCTCTCTCTCTCTCTCTCTCTCTCTCTCTCTGCGACTATCATAAATAAATAAAAATAAAAATAAATAGTTCTTAAAGAACAAACATTTCTCATTGTTTTGGAAGGTGGGAAGTCCAAGATCGTGGAACTGGCAGATGCAGTGTGGTGTGTGATAAGGATCTACTTCCTGGCTCATAACTGGCACTTTTTCCCTATGTCCTTATGTGGTGGAAGAAGATAAGGGAACTCCCTTGGGCTTCTATAGGCACTAATCCCATTCATGAAGGCTCTGCCCCACCCCACCTTGACCTGATAATCCCCTCCCAAAGGCTCCACCTGTTAATACTATCACCTTGGGGCTTAGGATTTCAACCTAGGAACTTTTCAGATCATACCTCCTTCTTTCCTTCTATCATTAATGTCATCATTAATTTCCTTCTATCATTAATGTCTTCAGTAGAATTCCTACTTTAGCTCAGCCAAAAAGAAATAGAGAATTCTTGACCAAAACTCTACTAATAACAGACTCTAAACCTAGGCAAAAAATGTGTCACACTTACAGAATACAGTACATTTGGGACATCATTTTGCCTGTGCCATTCATTTTGAAGTTCTTCTGAACTATCTATGTCTTCTTTTACTTTTACCTCTTTTAATAAAAGTCTACAACTGACTTAACATTCTAGTAAGGAAGCCTAAAGTTCATGTAGTAATCAAAGACCCTGAGAAGAAGACTTAAGGAACTCTTTGCAAATTTTCCCATATTTACATATCAGAGCATCATAATGTCTATTACATAACCATCACAATGCTCAGTTAGTTATATTTGGGCATCTCCCCTCTCAGTCTCTCCTTAGTCTGTAGGCAGATACTTTGGTTTTGTATCTGCTTTGCATTTCTTGCTATAAAATCTATTCTGATTGTCATTGCTACTTTAAGCTTATTTTAAATACTATATTTTTCTGATATTGAGCTTTTCCACTAGTTTTGCATGTTCTGAAAATTTACTCTCATCAGCTAAATCATTAAAAAATTAAATACTGGCTCCTGAACAGACACATTTATAGGAATCTATGACTATGCCAAGAAAATCACTGATACATGAGCTTTTTTCCCCTTAATACAAGAAATGACAATAGTTGCTGTGAGAATATTATTCCTTTTCTCAGAAACTCTCATCTAAAAGAGTATGGATAAAAAACCATATATCAGCAGTTACAGCAATTCAGTTATATATTCTATTATAATTTAATCTTTGGACCTAAATATTGAGTGTGAAAGCTTTCGACACAAGGGACTATTAAGCTGTTATGTTCTAAATAAGATTTTTTTAATTGAAAAAAGTAAATAAACATTCTTAAAATATTTTAAAACAGAAAACATCTTAATCTCACCATTCAGAGATAATCATTATGTTCAAATATATTTACTTCTTTTCTATGCTCAGAAAGTATATTTTTTTCTATAGAGATCCATATCAATATAGTTTGTCAAACTACTTTTACCCCTTAATATTTTGTAAACATCCTTCTGATGTCATCCATGTTGGTGTGTGTGCATATGGAAGTGTGTGTGTGAGTGGTGATGGTGACCAGGGTTGGAAGAAGGAAGGAGGCATTACTTTACAAAGTGAATCAGTTATTCCTGTTAACCTCCAAATAATAGTGTGGTCAGATAGGTTTTTGTAGTCTGATAGGTTTAACAACCCCTTTATCATATACTAACCTTTTCAGTTACAATAAAAAATGTATCCACATTGAAAAATATTGAGATAATATTTTCAGAATATTCAATCTAGCTAACATTTATTGAGGTTCTACCATATATATTTATATAAAGAGATGAACTTTGTTCTGAATTCAGCTAATTTTACTTTGCTTATAACTCTTAGTTAAAATTTGTTTTGTTACTAGAGGGTGTGAAGAGTAGATTCTCTGACATATTGCTGCATTTACACTGATTGTAATAAATATGTCTACATTTATCTAAGTGGTTCCTGCAAAATAATACTTTATTATTAAGATTTTATTAAAATATGGGCAGTAGGCAGTGTTTTTCTAATTAATAATAATGAATTAAAGCTTATAGTTTTTTGAAATAACTCCTGAACACATTATAGTTTTGTTAGTGGCACCAGACTTAAAATAAACACACAAAAATAAAAGTTCTCTTCATCGTCAGACACTCACTCCTATGTACATCATGCAGCATTTTCTTCTCACAAGAACCAGAATACTAAGCCTGAGACCCTGTGAAATCTTCCCTGATAAATCCTGACAGAAACTGCATTTAATTATCTTTACAGAGACCCAAGTTATGCTTGTACTTCTACATTTTCATATGAAGATTAGACTGCACATCTTAATCATGATTTCACCTTCTTCAGATTAGCCAGTTCTGAGACAGAAGCTAGTGTTCTGTCCTTGTGATAGAGTAGAAAGTACCGTATCTACTCACAGTAGACAAACCTACCAAATTCCTGAGTAGCTTTGACTAGTTTAACCTAAACTGGCATATTTCTTTTTGACAAGTTTTAGATTGATTTGAATTTTGTTTCTCTACATGTGAATGTGGTCATTTTTATTCTTTGATGCATCAACATGATATATACTAGGCAATAATAATTGATTTTTAAATTAAGCATAATTTTTATAGGTTGCTACAAGATTACCACAATACTCTCAGAATGAATTTACTTCACATAAGGTGTGAATAAAGTTTTTGTTTCACACTTTCTTAGAAGTTACCCATGTTTCAGTAGACAGCATGGGGAGGGCTGAGGAATGTGATTCTTTTTGACAAAGCCACATTGTATGTCCAACTAGTGCTTATATACCATTACACCTTTGAAAATACCCTGGGTTTACCAGCAATGTAATATAATACTGTTGTGCGCAGCAAAAAACAAAACAGGTAAGCTAATGTGTTTTCTTTTCAAGGTTGGCTAGAAGAGACTTAAAGTGTATAAATTATCATTCTTTGTGACTATTCTTTAGATTTCAGATGTACTTCTTAAAACTTCTACAGGTACTTAAAACAGATGCTGAGGAACTTGTCTCCAGAAGCTATTGGGATACACTGAGACGTAATACAAGCCAAGCACTCTTTTCAGACCTCGCAGAGGTATAATTAAACCTCAACCAGGACCCTGTACTATTTGCCATTTTGTTAAACTAGTCTTCATTTCATTTTAGAGTTACAATGATGAAACCAAAAATAATTTTCTATTTTCCTTTTTCTACAGTAAAGCAATCATTTCTATATGTAAATGGTGTATTTGAATATGTCACCTGTGTGGGCAGGGGCTGCAAGATCACCTATAATAGTCTATGCTAAGTCAACTTGCTTGTTGTAGAAAATGTGACTTTCCAACTTAATTAAAAATAAATATTGTTATTTTTAACTTAAGGATCACTTTAGGAAATTTGAGAATACTGTTTTATAGTTTCACTGAATCTTTTAACCTTATAATTTTGCATTGTTTCATGAAGTGTTGAAACTTTTAACTTAGTAAAAGACAACTAATGCTTTAGAGTTATGGTAGATTCAAACATTTAATTTCCTAATATTAGTTGTGTGTAGCTTACCAAGAGTGAGTAAGGGAGGTATGGTAGGAGCAGTCAATCAAGGAAGGGAGGATTATTTTAACTTGACATTGTTTTGGGTTGCCAGTGCATAGAAAATTAAAAACAGACTGACTGTTATTCATTATTATTTTGGAATTCCATAGGCATGCACCTTATTGCTGCACTCAGGTGGACTACTTCCACCACTCACTCATCATGCCACTGTTACTAGGGATTTGTCATTTTGTTTTGGGTTTATTTGTTTTTTTAGGGATTTGTCATTTTAAAAGATGGACTATATGTCTTCTACATTAAACATGATTTCATATATCCTATTAAGAATTTATTAGAAATGACTATCAGTCTTACCACAAAGAACTTTTCAGTAAATACTAAGATATATTTTTCATTCTTTGCATCTTTAAAGCTGGCTTCTCCTTTCATTTTCTGAAGTTTAACTTTTAAAAATTATGCCTAAAAATATCTAGAGAAGTAAACTGGAACCAGGTGTGACTTCTCTTATCTGTATGTAGTGTTTCTCCAATTGGCATCTTTAGACTGGCACAGGTACTTGGAAATGTTAAAGTTGTCAGTTGTGCTCAATTTTTAAAATCCCAAAACAAATAAATAAAGCATTTTGCCCTTTCTCTAATTTACCCCTGATATGTCAATATGATGTAATTATGATCAGTAATTAACCTTTTAAAATCACCTTTTGGGTTTGAACCAGTTTCTTTAGGCATAAAGTGGTAATAGATGTTTCATGTAAGATATTTCAGAAGTACTTAATTCTATAATCATTTATGCAGGCACATACTAGTCAGTGCCTACAAATAAGAGCAAATAGGGACATTGGCCCTAGAGTCCTAGAAACAAACTGGGTCCTAGCTTCAAACTAACAGGCCTATCACTGCTCTCTCTCCCTCCTAGATTGTTCACCTTGGCCTCCAGCCTATCTGTAATCTAATTTAACTCTGCTTGAAATTCTCACAATTAGACACAATCCACTAATTCAATGTTGAATTTAATTCAAGTCTTGGGAGGTTTAATATCAGAAGCCTAGTCAGTTCTTACATACACTCAAAGATTATAAGGTAGGCATAAGACCTTTCAAAGATGTTTATCACTCTGTCAGAGGTATGCTGGAGCTGGCTTTTATGGCTCCTAGAGTTAATTCTGTACATGTCTTCCAACTCAACATCCGTAATATCCTATTGGTACTTGAAAGTGGCTATGATAGAAGTATTAATACCATAGAAATTGGCAAACACTACAAATCAGGCTTTTGTTTTGTTTTGTTTCCTAAAGAGCTAGTTTACTAGCATATCATGGGCTATAATCAATCCACACTATAATCATAAATTACAAAATTAATTAATGAATTGATTCAAACATCATGAAAGTAAATCTGATAGAAGAAAGAAGAAAACAAAACTTACGTTGTATTCTAAAGTAAAATAATTATTTGGAGATTATCTCTTACTACCCTCCCACTTTAGAAAGGATAATTGAAAATTAACCGTAGTTGAGTTACAACTCATTGAAACTCCTTATAGGTTACTACTAATGCCACCATAACATTGAATTGCTTATAGTAGAAGTATTTCAGGATTCAAATTGGTTGTTCAGAAGGAAAGCTTAGAAATCTATTTGATTTCCCTCCCCTTTGCCCTTAGATAGAGTTCAATAAAATTATTATCCCATTGTAATCAGTAAAAATAGGTTGAAAGATTATCTTAAAAATCTATAATATTTTTACATACTTTTTAATTCCATGTAAATGTATTTGTCTATTTTATTTTTGATGAAATCATTTGACAACAAAGATAAGGGCGTTTTATGTAAATGGCCCATGGGATTTTTTTGTGGATTTTTCTTGCTTTGTTATGAAAACACCTGAATTCATTTTATTTTAACAATGGACACAAGAATCAAAGGGATAAAGTCTCTATTTTTGTCCCAACTCCCCTGTGATTTAAGTTATATAACACTGTTAGGATACTAAGGACACTGGTATGGTTTTCAATGACTCCCAATAGTGCTCTGTTTCATTGAATGGGAGAGAAAAGTTTTCACCATTTCCATTTTCTAATTTTTTTTTTCCTAATGTCAAACTGTTACTTATGCCTCTGTGGGTCTGGATTATCTGGATAAGTGCAACCTAAGTCTAATAAGATTTTGATGATGAAAGACTGTAAACGAAGATCTGCTCTGCTCAGTGGGCATGAGAAAAGCTGAAAGAATGAGGTCATTATGGAAAACCTGTATAAAACAAAGCCATCTCATTTCACTGTGTTAGATTTTGAGGTAAAGGACATCACTGCACTAAAGGAAAATATTTCATAATTGTTACCTGAGTTCACTAATTTTGGGTGTTCCTGTGACCTCTTATTTGAAGGCATTTTTTTGTCAGATCTATATAACACATGTGTAGTTTCAGTTAACAAAAAAGAAGTAAGAGTGTGCCATGTAAAACTTTTTTCCACTAAGCTTCAACATTATTATCTTTTCTGTCTTGTCAAGTCCTTTTTCAACTGAAATATATTGATTTGGCAAAAATAATAATAATATTTGATGAGCATGTACAATATGCCAGTTAGTGGTAAATGATTTAGATGTGTTACCAGATCCTCACAACAACACTTTAAGGTAGGTACTGTTGTTATTCTTGAGGGTAGTAATATCCTCAGAGAGATTAACTTCCCCGAGGTCACTTCATTAATAAGGAAAAAAGTCAGGATTCAAAGGCAGAATCCTTGACTGGCTTTGAGCTCATCATCTTAATATGCTCACCACACCAGTGTTTATTTGTGAAGTAAGCAACTTTTCTAAAACACCATGGCCTCTCTTCTGATTTACCTTATCTCTCACCCACATTCCACCCCTCCAGCTTCTAGATAGATACCCCAGTTCCTAATGTTGATTTCTGATTCAATGGAACCTCCAGAGCTCTTGTGCTCCATTAGGCATGCCTTCTCAAATATTTTTTTCCCAAACTTACTTAAGTTTGTTCCATGGATAATAATGGACTAGGCTTGATTATATACAATCACAAAAGACTGTTTATAGATCTCTCTTTTTTCCCAAAGGTCTTAATGCTTTATTCCAAAGCATCTTATGCTGCCAATATTAACATTTATATGCTTCATTTAAACTCATAGTCTAATTTTATCCTCAAAACCATGATCATAGATAGTTTTATGCCTATTTTACTGATAAGGAAACTAAGGATTATGAACTCAGGCATTCTGATTTTAAATCCTCTTCTTATAGCAGTCTGTCTCCTCAACCTAAAGCTATTGTGAAAGTAATAGTGTCTTTTGAGCACTACTCAAAATTATCCTAGTCTGTTGTCATATATAGAATACTGAAAGGTTGGCACCACTAATATTCCTCAATATCCATTATAAGCTTGTTTAGGAGGCATATTTAAAAGATAGTATGTGACACCTGGCTTCCAGGTTGTGTTACTTTCTCCCTGGCAATCAGATCTTTGAAGAAGTTAGATATATTACAGGGGAGGAAGTGTATACACATACAAACACATTTATATATATGAAAAATACTTGGGACCTGTCAGCAAACTAAACTAAATAGAAATCTTCCAACCCAATTATAAGAAGGTTATATGCTAGAGATTACTTAGGAAAATCCAAGCTAAACAAACATAAATAAGACTACACAATTTACTAAAGAGCTTCAACAATTTTAGATAATTTAAAGTAGAAGATACCCTACATGTTGGAGGTTTTAAGAGAGGCCTAAGTAATCAAAGTAGCAAAGGGACCACTTAAGAAAAACAAGGATTAAAAGAAGGCATGTAGGAGGGAAAAAGCCCAATCACAAGATGTCTTTATGATGCCAAATTAGTCATTAGAAGTTAATAATATTTGGTCTAGGGAGAAGGAAATACAGATCCAACAAATGTAATGAAGGACAGAATAGCTATCTTTATGAAAGATTGGGAAGAGAGCTATAAGAAATCAAAAGATTACCAAGAGTTAGTGTGAAATGGGTAAGATGACTTTTTGTCAGAGATCATAGAACACAACTTACCCTTTGTAGAGAAATAAATACTTTTTACTTCTGTTTTCTGTGAAACAGAATACTGTCCAAGAAGTAACATTTCAGGTATGTACCTTTGAATGGACATTTACAGCTAATTTTTTAATACAGAAAATGCTAGTTATTATTAAGCCTCTTATTTTTCTTATATTTCCCAGGATAATGTATGGGGGAGAGTTATAATCATTTGAATTTTATGATTTTTGTACCTGAGTTTATAAGATAGATATGAGTTAATGACCAAGTGAGGAAGGAAGGAAAAAAGAGTAAGGAATGGAAGAGGAGGGAGGAAAAAGAAAGGAAAATCTATAAAGCCACATTAAAGGAAAGAAGGACTACTTTCATAGGCCATTAAACTTTATAAGGACTAGAATTAAATGATTTTAAGAATACACTTGTTGGAACCTCTGGAATTAATCTCTTATCCATTCAAAAAATAATGTAAGACTTTTAAGGAGTTTCTCAAAATACAGTATCTTCTGTTTAAAGTATCATAAATATGGAATACAATAGAAAAGCATCATGCTCAAAGGAAACTATTTTGTGCAGCTTAAGACCATTCTTTTGTCAGCCCTGTATATTCCATACATCTGAAGAATTCCCTCTTTTGAACATCCTTTAAAAAAATTGATTTTTTAGGTTGATTAGGAAAATCTGAACTAAATGACTTAAATGAAGATAAAACATTTAGATGATTACTAAAAGATTTTAATTATTTTAGATAATTTAAAACACAGATATCCTTTTTTTTTTTTTTTTTTTTAATACATGAGAGACACAGAGAGAGAGAGGCAGAGACACAGGCAGAGGGAGAAGCAGGCTCCCTGCAGGGAGCCCGACATGGGCCTCGATCCCGGGTCTCCAGAATCACACCCTGGGCTGAAGGCAGCACTAAACCGCTGAGCCACCCAGGGATCCCAAACACAGATATCCTATATACACACTTTGAGGTTGAAAACTGAAAATATAAAAAAATAAAAATAAAGAAAGAAAGAAAACTAATAATATAGTCCTATCTTTAAATTTTTTTGAGGATAAAGATAATATCAGTCATATTTCTATTTTCAAATATTGCATTTCATTTTAACTGCAATGGCATTTATTAGTGCAGCCTTATGCTTTTCATTCTAATGTTAATACATTCATGTTCTTGGCATTTAAATGTTGATAAAATTCTTTGAGAGATATTGGGTATCCCTATTCTGTTTGTTTATTGCAGCTAACCTTTAAATTGTGATTTTTTTTTTAAGCGTGCTGATGACATTACAAGTTTAGTAACAGATACTACACTGCTTGTACACTTTTTTGGAAAGAAAGGAAAAGCTGAGCTCAACTTTGAAGATTTTTATAGGTGAGCTTAATTTTGTATTTGTTTTGAAAAATGTTAAAATGCTAAAGTCAGTGGTCTTTAGGAATAATCTGATGCAGAAACACTCACCTGTTTGCTGATTTCATCTTCTTAACTGAAGATTTTCTAACAAATAAGCATTTCCATCAGTACCTGTATACCAGTCACTATACTGATAAGTATAATGGGAGGTTACTGAATGATAAGAAATGCCTGGATATCTGGATTGGTCATTTCCTGATATTCCTAAGAAAGTATATTACCAACTCCTTTGTCTCAGCAAGCCATAGTAATAAGCATGGATATAGTGTCTACTGTAGTAAATCCCAGGCACTACACAATAACTCTTAAGTCTCATTGCTACCCTGCAAAGTCTTTTTGTTATCCTCATTTTACAGATGAGGAAGCCAAAGCCCTGAGAGGCTATCACTCTTCATTTATCTGTTGATAAATCATCTGTTGCCATCATCTTTCATTTATCTTATTCATTCTTTATGTTCTTGTCATAGATTTATGGATAACCTTCAGACAGAAGTTCTAGAAATAGAATTCCTTTCCTACTCTAATGGGATGAACACTATCAGTGAAGAAGATTTTGCTCATATTCTTTTACGATATACAAATGTGGAAAATACATCAGTATTTTTGGAAAATGTGCGTTACAGTATACCTGAAGAAAAGGTATCTAATTCCCCATATCTATTTTATTACATATATTATCTTATAATTGTATACGTCTATAGAATATATCATCCTTTCTTAGTTCTTTTTCTCCTCTGTGGATTATTAGATATTTTGGATATATTTCATTCTCTTTTCCTCAGTGTCCTAAGTTGTCTGGCTAAATTTTAAAAATTGATTAATGTAAAATTCTGGGTAGAGATTCATTAGATCTTAGATATGCTTAAAATCTTTAAGGTTATTAGCAGTTGTTTTATTCAAATTTTGAATATCGTTTTTGAAGAGAATTCTGCTGAGATATATGCTTTGACTACTACATAAACATCTCCTCATATAAAAGTTTATATTGACATCATTTCAGTCACACTTTATTTTGTAATATTCTTAATAAAAGGTCATTTGAAGATAGCCATTGATGAGTGAGTGATCTTATCAGCAAGTGAAGTGAAGTTTTTCAAAGAGTTTGGATGGCATGAATGGTTAAGAACGTGGGACAACTGATTGTCTATTTGTTTAGCAGCAAATGTGTTGTCAGCAATTCTGAGCAGTTGCATTACCTAGTGGTATTTGAATGCATCACTGCAACTAAATAGAACTGGTGTTACAAGTACCCCTTCAAGCATGAGATGTTTTGGATATATTGCCTTCTATTTGTGTTTATAGAAGGGTCAAGTTAATCTATCCAAGAGAAACTTGCAAATAGTTTGACTTTGTTTAAAATGGATACACTGTGACAGTGCTAACAATTCTTCAGTTACCTAAGGAATGAGAAGAAAAGACTTGATGCATTGGGCTGTTAGTTTACATAATCTCTTAGGGGACTTTTATCTGTTTTACATGATAAACTGAATTTTTCAATTCATAGACACTTCCCTAAAAATAAATATTACAAGTTCTACTACTGCTAGGATATTATTTAGGGCCTTAATGAGTCGGCTTTCTTTTTCTTTTATCAAATGGCAACATAGAAATCTGTAACTCAAAAAGTTCAATTCCAGGGTGAAAAGTATATGGGAACTCTTTATACTATTTTTTAGTTGCAAAAATCTCACTTGCTGCTGGATTAGATTTCAGTGTAAAAGAAAAAGGAATCAAGAATTCCTAGGGTTTGGGCCTGAACCACGTTGTCAAAAAGTGGTGCCATTCATTGAGCTAATAAGTAAGACTGCAAGTTTGGGGTTAGGAAATCATTTCATTTCGGACAACTTAAGTTGAGATTGCTATAAGGTATCTAAATGAAGAAACAACTTAGGCAGTTGGATATGTTATGGTGACTCTGAAATTTTAAGGTGCAATCAGGACTATTTTTGGTAATCATTAGTGTATAGACTTGCAAACAGCTTAAACATGTTCCCTGGATTTCAGACTTTTACATTGTACTGTCTACTCATATCTCCACTTGGGTATCTAGTAGACACCTCAAAACTCCTGATCATCCCCAAAATTTCATAAACCATCTTTCCTGTTTCATTAATGAAATCTCCATTTCCCCCAGTTGTTCTAGCCAAAATTTTGGACTCCTTACTTTCACATTCCACATACAATCCATCAACAGATCCTCTCGACACTGCCTCCATCAGAATTTGACCATTCTTGTCATCTCCACTGCTAAACTACCCTTGCCAGCATTCTCTCTTGCCTGAATTATTGCAGTTGCCTCCTAAATCATCTATTTTCTTCCTAGCTTTGCCTCCCTACAATTTGTTCTCCATTTAGCAATTAAGGAAATGACATATAACATGATTCAGATATTTTTAACTTCCCATTTTACTCAAAGTAAAAGTTAAAATCCTTACAGTGGCCTACAAAGCCCACACCAGCTGTTCCCTCATTTCCTCCTACCTCATTTCCTCCCATTCCCCGCCTTGCTTCCTCTGCTTCAGTTACACTGACAGCTTGATTGCTTTTCAACACCAGGCAGTCTTCTATCTCAGGGCTTTTGTATATGTCCTTTATCTGCCCAGAATGCTCTTCTCTTAGATATCCACATGGCTTCCTATGTTATTTCTCAATGAGGCCTACTCTTTCCAATCTAATGTATAAATAATCACCTATCATATAAATAATATATAATTATTATATAAGTAATAATCTATTGTATAAGCTATAGCCCCCTCCCTTCGTATTCCCTATTCTTTCTTCCCTTATCTTTTTATTCCATAGCATTATCATCATCTAACATACTATATTATAGTATGTGATATAATATAGGCTTAGTTTTTGTTTATTTTTCATTATTTATCTAGGTAAACAACAAAACTTGTTTTTTATTATTATTATTATTTGTTGTCTGTCTCCCCGACTAGAATGTAGCACTGGTATTTCATCTTTTTTATTCACTCATATATCCTCAGTACCTAGAATGCCTATTGAATGAATTGACAGTATTTAAAGAAGTAGAACTTAAAGCTTTTCTGTTTTTGTGAATTTTACCAGCAGATATATTCATTCATGTGAAATGGCAGATATACAGGGTTATTTATTAGAGTGTTGTTTGTAATAGCAAAAGATTGGAAACTATCTAGATGTCTTTTAGTAAATCAGTAGTTAAATGAATTATGTTGTATCTATAGAATAGAAAAGGTATTCCCGAAAAAAAGATGAAGAAGATTCTTTATATATTACTATAGAATGATCTCCAACACACAGCAAGTGAAAAAGAGCACAGTCTCAAACAATGTGTATAATATACTACCATTTGTTTAAAAAGATAGCCTATGCTAATTCTGGAAGGACCCACATAACTAGAGACAGTGGTTCCTCCAAGGAAAGGAACTGCATGGCTAAGGAAGGGTGGGAGGGAGGGAAATTTTGCATTGTACATGCTTTTGTCCCTTTTGAATTTTGAAAAGATGAGTATAGTGCCATATAAAATAACTTAAAAATTGTAAATGCCCTCAGACCAGGTTAACTTATCTAGAAGAGAATGTAGGTAGAGACTATAGAAGAGAGAGGGCTGCTCATAATAACTATGTAATGTAAATACTAATAAGAAAGTAGTAAAATTCACTATTAAGTTTGAGGAAACTTGTTCAGAAAGATTTAAGTGACCTGTCTCAGGTCATTCAACCAGTAAATTTTCAAGTTTGAATTTTCTGTTTATTCCAAAATGGTCCATTTCCCTTAACCGTTTAAAGTTGTTTATATATTAAAAGTTATTATCTAGTTGTCAGTTAGATCAGTTACCTATTCAAATTATTCATAACATGCATTTTGTGTTGAGAACAAATGTAATTTACTCTTGAGGCCCTTGTAAGTCCATATTTTCTGAATGGTTATTTTATTTGGCTGATAATGTTCTAATGATTTATTTGGATTTTTCGAGTTAATCTTTTTCTCATTCTAGTCTTTTGTTTATTTTGTTGTGGTAAACATCATGTAACGTAAACCATCTTAAACTGAGCAATTCAGTGGACACAGTGTGAATACCATCTTTATTTCCAAAACATTTTCATTACATCTAAAGTAAACCCTATTCTTATTAAGCATTTTCCTCCAGCCTCTAGGATCTATTGTCTGCTTTCTGATTCAGTGGATTTACTTATTCTATTTTATATAAATAGAATCATATAGTATGTAACCTTACATGTTTGGCTTCTTTCATTATATTCTTGAGGTTCATGTATGTTGTAACTTGTATCAGTGTTTCATTCCTTGTTAAGGCCGAGTAATATTCTACTGTATGTATACTTTTGTTTATCCATTCACCTGTCCATGGATGAATATATAGATTTTTTAGGATGTGAAGTGGAATCTGTGTAATTACCATTAGCTTTATCTTAAATGGAATTCTTAATTTCTTCATATAGCTTTGAGTTAGAATATGGTTTCCTTTCTTTTTAGCCTTAATGACTCCCTTTAGGATTTCTTATAGGACAGATCTGCTAGTAATGAACTCCCTTGGCTGCTGTTTATTTGAGAATGTCTTACTTCATTTTTGAAGGATAATTTTACCACATATTGTTTATCTGAGAATACTTTAATCATTTTTGAAGAAATACTTTGCCACTTATAGAATTCTTGGTTTTCAGATTTTTTTCTTTTAGCACCTGAACTGTTCTACTCACTTTTGGCCTCATGGTTTCTGATGAAAAATCGGCTGTTAGTCTTACTGAGGATCTCTTATTTATGAAGAAGAACTTGTCTCCTGCTGCCTTCATGAATGTTATTGTCTTTTTTTTTATGAATGTTATTGTCTTATGACAGTTTAAGTATATGTCTTGTTATGAGTCTTTTTCAATTTATTCTGCTTAAGGTTCATAAAGCTTCTTGAATGTGTAGACTTTATCTTTTATCAAATTTCAGAGAAATGTTTTCAATTATTATTTTTAAAAATATTCTCTCTGCTCTTTTCTCTCTTTTTCTCTCTTTTCCCATAATATGTATTTTGGTATGCTCGATGGTATCTGCAGGTTCCTTAGGTTCTGTTACTTTTCTTCAAGTTTTTTTTCTTTCTACTCCTCAAACTGAATGCTTTTAATTGTCACATCTTCAAGTTCATGGATTCTTTATTCAGCTTGCTCAAACTTGCTGCTGAACATCTACTCAAGTTTGCATTTCGGTTATGGTACCTTTCAGCTCCATAATTTTTATTTGGTTCTTTGTACAGTCTCCATCTATTGATATTCTCTTTTTTTTTTTTTCACAGATGGTTTTCCTGATTTCCTTTATTTCTTTATCCATGGTTTCCTTTAGTTCTTTGAGTGTATCTAAGACAGTTGATTCAAAATCTCTGTCTATTTAGTCCAATGATTAAACTTCTTAGGGATGGTTTGTTGACCTTTTCCCCTGTCAATGGCCATATTTTCCTAATTCTTGTATTCATTGTAATTTTTTGCTTAGCATAACTTTTTCAAAGTTCAAATATCAGCACTTCATTCCTTTTTATTGCCAAATAATACTTTATTATATAAATATACCACATTTCTTCTGTTTGTCAGTTGGTGAATTATTTTTGAGTTGTTTCCAGTTTGACTATTCAAATTATGCTGTTATGAACATTTATATACAATTTTTTCATGTGGACATATGTTTTGAATTGTCAGAGAATTAGATATATACTTCAGAGGAAATAGCTGGGTCACATTGCATCCTTAATTTTTAACATTTTAAAGAACTACCAAGCTGCTTTTCAAAATAGCAATATTAATCCCAATAATAATGTATGAAATTTCAAATTTCTTCACCTTTTCTCCACAATAACACTTATTATTGTCTGTCTTTTTATTTTTAGTCATCTTAGTGGATGTGAAGTGGGACATTGTGGTTTTGATTTGCATTTCTCCAGTGAATAATGATGCTGGGCATCTATTCCTATGCTTTTTGGCCATTTGTATATTTTCTTTAGGGAAATATCTATTCAAGTCTTTTGCCCATGTCTTCATAGTTTGCAAATATTTTCTCCTGTGGATTGTCTTTTTACTTTCCTTGATAGTTCCCTTTAATATACAAAAGTGTTTTCTTTTGACAAAGTCTCATTTGTCTATTTTTAGTTTTGTTGCTCATACTTTGGATGTCATATTTAACAAACCACTACCAAGTAGGAGATACAACATCCCTTCCACTTTGAAAATAAATAACATAGAAAGAAAAGAAAAAAAAAAGAGGGAAGAAACTGTTGTCCAATTCCAAGATCATGAAATTTTTGTTTCTGGTTTTGTAGGATTTTTACAACTCTAGCTATTAAATTTAGGTCTTTGATCCATTTTCAGTTAAGTTTTGTATATAGAATGAATTAAGAATTCAACTCCTTTCATTTACATGTGGATATACAGTGTTCCTAGCACTATTTGTTTAAAAAGGTGTTAAAAAGAAAGACATTGTTTCTCCAGTAAATGGCCTTGCCATTTTTACTGAAAATCAGTCTATCATAGGTATTTGGGTTTATTTCTGAACTCTCAGTTCATGTCTTTCTTGATGCTTTAAATTTTTCAGTTATCATCACTTTGTTTTTGTTAAAATGTAAGTTACTTCTTTTCACTTCACTTCTAACAATTAGGACACATTTCATTCAAATCCAGATGATGCATTACAAAAGTGATTCTGGTAGTGAAGGTGGAGAAGAAGAAGAAATGGCCATCCTCCCTCTCTCTGACCCACTTTCCCTCACTGCTGTTAGAATGGATTGCTTTAAATTATCTCCCTCAAGATGAATGCCCTGTTTTTCAGTTTACGATTCCATATTTCCAAACACAAAGAGTTTAAACCTATATAGAAGAATTACTATAGTTTTGAATTTGAGTTTGCTTCTCAACATGAGAACACGATTTTGAAAAAATCTGAAGATTCAGATGGTGAACATTGTTATTCCATCATTCTGTGATTTGCTTCTTAGTCTTATGTTCCTTACAAGTATTGGCATTTTTGTTTATACCTCACTTAAAAATTGCCGTGGCAGCTGGTCGCAGCATAAACTGACACGGAACCCAAACAGTGACCAGTTTCCCTAGCAACGAGCGCTCCGCATCAAGACAGACCCCTTCTGGCTCAGTCCCCCTAATTGATTCATACACTCTCCCTGGAAAATACGGCAGGTGGGATCAGGTCACAAAGCAGGATCCAGGGCTGGGGTGGCCATAAATGGATATAAGGAAAGACAAAGAGAAAATTGTGAAAAGAAATGACAGTGAGAATTCTCCTCACAAGTAAAAATTAGGGTTGCAAGTGAAGTGGAAATAATGTATACCAAAAATTAGTATTATTTTGATTATAAATTGGTAATGAATATTATTTTGATAATCATTTAATCAGTAGTTGGCTTATATTAGACTCTTCTGGTTCTTTTGCTGGCTCTCCAGTGCTACCTTGCTAGTTTTCCTTTCCCTTTTTCGACTATATTAAAGTGTTCAATTGTTAAGCCTCAGCTCTTGGCCCTCTGCTCTTTTTCTGTTTTCTTTCTCAATTAATTTTGCTGAGAACACAATAATTAAATGTAGGTCTTTATGTCCAAATTTGTATTATCTGAAATACATTGTGCTTGCTTCAAATAATGTTCCTGTTTCTTTGAACTACTAGCAGTAGCAATAATTGCAATTTATGTGACATTCTAGAATCCTTTCCACAGTTCCTCACTGAGCCCTGTGTGTAGTGCCCAGACCTGTGAGTGTACACTCATTGCACTTCCTCCTGCTGTCCTGACAGTGCTATCATGGCAGAAATAAGTACACTGTTTTTGGCTTATTCAACATGTTGATTTTTGCACTGTCATGATTACAGATGTTGATTACCTAATACTAAGCTGTATTAAAGGAATACATGTATAGGAGAAACAGGTGTTTTAGGGATTGTTTTCCTCTTACTTTTTTTTTCTTAATCATATTTACTTACAGGGTTTAAAAAATTTAGGCCTGAAATACAGAATTATCACAACTGAAACTTTTTTATTCATTTTTGTTGTATCATTTTTTGAAACTTGTGCTGATATGACAGTGGGGTTTTTTTGTTTTAGTTTTCAAAGATTTTATTTATTTATTTATGAGAGACACAGGGAGGGAGAAGCAGGCTCCATGCAGGGAGCCCAATGCAGGACTCGATCCTGAGACTCCAGGATCATGCCCCGAGCCGAAGGCAGATGCCTAACTGCTGAGCCACCCAGGCATCCCGATATGACAGTGTTTTAAAAATATTTTCACCTATTATTGCTAATGGTCACAACCCTATGCAGTGGAAATATATCTGAGTGAATTTTACATTCTGCTTGGAGAAAGGAGGTTTCAGAATCTACCCTGGAAATGTTTATTTACAAGATACATCGCAGATGCTTAATCTATTTATTTCTAGTAAGTATACTTATTATAATAAATTTGGCAAAACTAAATATATTTACATATATTCTCCCACTATAGGGTATCACATTTGATGAATTCAGATCATTTTTCCAGTTTTTGAACAACTTGGAAGACTTTGCAATAGCCTTGAATATGTATAATTTTGCAAGTCGTTCTATAGGACAAGGTAAGTAATTATCTTTCAAAACTTAAAAGCAAAAAATAATCCTATGTTGTTTCTAGGGACTTTGACAATAATTTAATGCAGTATTTCATATTAGCCATCAAGTTGCCTGAAAGTATGGTGTATACTTTGATGGGAAATCTATTTTCCCTAAGCAGAGTTTTTGGGAAATTTGCTAAGTTTTTCCATTGAGTCTATTACTGGCCTTCATTTCATCTTATGGGGAAGAACTAATGATGCTTATAAAGATCCAAAGAGGAAGAAACCTCATAACCGCTGGTAACCTTGAGGGATGTATATCTACCTACAGGAGAGCCAACTGGCTTAAGTGTCTTGATAACTTACTCATCTTAATCTTTAAAGTGTCTATCGCAGATAGTAGGTGCTCATTAAACATCCACTGACTATAAATACATCATTAACCTAGGATACAGCTACTTATTGGCCCTTTTAATTCAAACCACAGAAATTTTCTGTTCCCTAAAAGATAGCATGATTAACAGAAGAGTCATGTGTTACATAAGGTCATGACCCCATTTGGAAAAACTTCTTTTATAACCTTTCTAGTAATTAACACATTATAAAAACATTATTAACTATTTACTTCTTTTCTGTAACATTTGTCTAGATGAATTTAAGCGCGCTGTCTATGTAGCTACTGGCCTCAAACTTTCACCACATTTAGTGAATACAGTCTTCAAGATTTTTGACGTTGACAAAGATGATCAATTAAGTTATAAAGAATTTATTGGAATTATGAAAGACAGACTCCATAGAGGATTCCGGGTAAACCTATAAATTTGAAGCCTATTGATATTCTTTTTAAAAACAAAAAAAGGAAAAAGCTCCATCTGTTTCAAAAACAATTTCTATTAATTTTTAAGGATATAAACATGAAATGTTATATTTGACAAGAGAAAACATATGATTGTACTTATTTTCAGAAACTTTGAGGTGTTAAAAGTTAATGCTTTTTAAAAATATAAATCAATTTGAATTTTAGTAACTTTTTTTCATATGCAATTAATTTAATGTCTCCATCTCAGTTTGTGGGGAGAAATGTTGCCAAATATTTTTTGATTAATTCATTCAGCACACAGGCAGTTCAGACTTGGTACTAGATAATCAAATAGCATGATTTCCATTTTGCATGATGCAGAGTTCGACCAGCAATTTGAGGCTATTAAGTCACTACATCTTCAGTAACTTTAAATAGAAAACAAGGTTAAAAAAACTTTGTTGAACTGTTTTTTTTCCTGTTTACATCTTATATTGAAAATTATTAATGATTTTTTTCTCAGAAATGTGTTTTAAGTAATGAAATGTAGTATAGGTCAACAAAAGTTCATACATTTATCATATTTGTAGATGTGCCACAAGAAAAAAAATTCTATTAACAGCTAGAATGTTCTCTTTGGTAAGAATACCCCAAAGTACTATACATCTAAAAAGATAAAAAGTTATATATACCAAAAAAAAGAAAAAAATCAAGATTCATCTTAATATTTTTAAAGATTTTTCATGATTTTTGTAAATCCAAGCCCTGTTGGTCAAGATATTGTGTACTTAACTGCCACCTACTGGTCAGTTGTTAACATTTGAGTCTGATAGCACAAATACCTGAAAGGATAAATATACATTGAAAATAACTTACTTTTCCTCAAAAACTTTAGAGCAGCAAGATGGAAGTAAAATACAAACTATGCTATAAAACCTGTGACACTGTATGTATCTCTCAAATGTTTAATGTTTTTATTTTTGCTTTACTTTTTATTGCATACCCCATATTTTTATTGCATGCCCTGTAACGTTTTAGTTACATTTGCATACTTTTAATCCTTTGTTCTACAGGGTTATAAAACAGTGCAGAAGTATCCCACTTTCAAATCCTGTCTAAAGAAGGAACTTCATAGCAGATAAGTATGTTAGTCTCTCTAAGTTCATTCAGTAACGAAGGATCATAATTTATTTATTTTTATTATGACATTTAGGAAAGAAACAGAATTATAACTATTTTTTACTTGTAGGTCACTAATTCAGTTTACAAATTAATCTTCTAATGATTTCATTTTAGACCAGTAATTTAAGAATTAGTCACTCCAAAGCATTAGTTTGCTATTAGGCTGTGATCCAAAAATGAACTAGAATGAATAATCATTTGACTGGAATTCTCTTGGAGGGTCTTGAATAAAAAATTTTCTGTTAAACCTACAATTTTGTATCTGAGAAGATACAATACAATGAATCCAAATAGGATTTTTATAATCTAGGACCATTAGCATCTAAGGAATATTAGTTACTGTTTTATAGGATCATGTCCAAACATCTGCTGTAATAATAGTAGGTAACTTTTTAGTTATTTAGGTTCCTGGCCCTATATGAGGTGTTCTACATGTAGTGTCTCATTTAATCCTCACAGATGGATATCCCATTTAAAAGCAGGGAAAATAAAGATGTACTGTGTAATTTACCCAAGATAACTTGCTAGTAAATGGCTCACTAGGATTTGAGCCCCATTCTGTCTGATGGCAAAGCTATCTTATTTATTGTTCACTAAACTATCACCACAGAATGCAGTAGTTGAGGAAGATGCAGGAAATTCATTCAGTTTGTGTCAGTCCAAAGAAATAATTCAAATTTGCTGCTCATCTCCAGAATGAGAGGTTTGCTTTTCCTTTTTTCTTGTAGAAGTCTATCGTAGTTACAAAATTTTGGTTGGATTGTAGGTTCTCCTTAAGGTAGATCTAAACAGTGAAGGTTTCGTTCATTTATACATGCTTGCAAATATGTGTATTCCCTGCTGTTTCTTCCGAGCTTGAAACATTTGTATTTGTCTATAGCAGTGTTTCCCAGAGTAGTTCCATAGGCTATCAATATGTATCATTCAAAAAACACAAAAAAGCTGCTTAGTCAAGTAAGTTTGAGAAATACCATAATAAGCATGGTTCGGTAAGTTTCTTCTACCTTAGAACTTATCAAATGTTAATATGCCACTATTTATTTGTCTCTCTAAGAGAAAACCCAAGTATCCACTATTTTGCAAAGCTTTCAGATCTAATGTTTTATGGAACACATTTGGGAAACTCATTTTGGGGCTAAAATGTTTAGCAGCAAGTAAGCTTATTTATCTATCTAAGGTGGTAACTGTTGAGTGAACAAAAGAAGTCAGATCTTCTTCGTCTATTTGAAAGAACTTCATCTGCATATAAGAACTTACGCTAACATTAGAAAAAAGTAGGACCATACTATTTGTTCACTTAAGTAGTATTCTCAACCATGTAGTAGTACATAGAACCATAGACAAAAACAACATTTCTTTTAAACCTTTGTAATTCCGAAGGTTAGACAAGTTACTAAACAAAATACTAAAATTTAAGTCTAAAGGAAATGTTTTGTTGTTTTTGAATCCTGTATTTTCTGTTGAGTGTTTTTATGATGTGCCTTACTGTTTCACATTAATATCATAATACTAGTTAGTTAATGTCATCACCTCTTGATTTCGTCCTAAATATTGCTTATAGGTAATACATATAATATTACATATATATACATATATGTATTTTTTTTAATTAGGTACTTATAAAGCAGAGTTTTAACGATTCTTATCTACACGACAATGGAAGAAGCACAAATTTCAGAGAGTGGAAGCAGGTCTGAGATCAGAACATGTGGAAATGAAGGAAAAGATGAAATGCTAATTATAATTTTTCTTGACTGAACTCTTAAACAAAAGACAGATAAAATGCATCTTCTCATTAACTTTACATGTTACATGTTATCAAGTTGAGCTTTTACCTTGATTTACTGAATTCTTTGTACTTTTTCATTCCCTTCAGAAGTATGTAGATACTTCCAATGACTATATAAGAATGTATTTTAAATATTTTTTTATTTATTAGAAATTGCCTCATTTTAAAATACAATGTGACTCCTGGAATCTAGATCATTTAAAAATTAACAGCAACAACATATTATCTTTGGTTTTGAACTGTGAACTTATTTTCAGAAAATGAATATTCCTTGAGATTTATTTTAGGGCCTTTAGAATTGTTTATAAATCCCCATTATTTCCAAGTTTTTAATTACATTAAGATAGTTTTGAAAAACAAATAGAAATTAAGCCACTATATAATACACTGTGATGGTTTACATTATACTTTTACTTATAAAAGTACTCATTATACATTGTGTGAATCATATAAAGTTTTTAAAAAGTTTTTGTTCATTTACCAAAATCATCAGAATGTTTGGTATTCTTTTATGTATGCAGTAAAGAAATTTAAAATGTAGATTCTTTTTTTCTCAAAAAAAGTCACATCTTGATGGTAGAAGCAGTAGCATTTGTGGCAGCATCCCTGTCCTTGCAATTATGGTCTTGAACATGCTGCTGCTCCTCACTGCAGATGGCATATGTTCATGACACCAGTCAAAATAGTCTCTTGCAGCTTTGCAACTTCCTGCATATTGTTAGTCTGTGAGTACTATAAAATGCAAAAATAAAATGGTTTAGAAGAGTGATGTATATATTTAATAGAATATTTTGTTTCTTGTAAAAGGACCACATGCAGAAGGGATGCCAGACAGCCAGTAATAATGAATAATTTAAGAATAATTCATTATTTCAAAACAATATGACTTAAAGAGAAACTTTCTAGTGAGAAACAAAATCAGACTTTCACATGGAGAAAATAATTTGATAGTACTTAATGGAAGTCTGTTCAATTAAAAAGTGTAATTTATAAAAGGATACGGTGCAAAAATAAGACTGAATTTAAGTTAATATGTTTATATATTATATGTAGAAGATAAGTTCATTTATCTTCTTTTTTAAGATGTATTTAATGTAAATTGCACACACTCCAACTATTACCTTGCTTTTGCATATAAAAATAGGAAATACTTTGTTTTTATAAGTTATTAATGTGAAGTTGATAGTTCCACATCAGCCTATTTATAAAAATATTATTTCCAAGAAAAAGTTACTATTAGCATTAATGTATTTGTTAAACTTTTTACATTCTTTATCTGGTATTATTTATTACATTGATATACAATTATATGATTCATAGATTTGAAGATTCCATATAGTATAATAGTTTAATTTCACCTGCTTTGAAGGTTGATTCAATTGACTAACTACATGAAAATGCCAATCCACTCATTTAACATGACCACGGCCTGTTTTATCTTGCACTGAATGTTCTCGATAGTAATTATTTGATATCCAGAATAATTTTTAAAATGCAATTTACTTTTATCTTTGACTATAAGCTATATTATCTTGCCTACGTGGAGAAATTGCTATTGAGAACAGCTCTATAAATATAGATTTAAAAATGAATTATTTCACTAAAATTCTTCATAATTCTGTCAGTCTCCCAAGGTATCCTACATATGCAGTCTTTATTGCTTTTCAGTGTAAATGAATTTTCCTTTACTTATAAGGCTGCAGCATAATACTAAAATGGGAATAAATAAAATATTCTGATTAAATGAAAAAAGTAGTAAATTACAGTCCCTCTGTATTATCACTGTTGAACTCTATCATCTATAAAATGGGAGGTAAAAACATCTCCCTGGATTTTTGTTTACATCAATTAAAAAACTGTTAATGCTCTGAAAATAGTAACAGACTAAATGTATGCTGTTATCCTCAGTATTTCCTTCTACAAATTATTCTTTGGAAACATGAAGCTATAGATAAATTTTAGTATCATACTTTACAGAAAATCTACATCCCAAAAGGTTTTTGCTATTTCTCAGGATCATTTCATATTTAGAAATTCATTTAACTTAAGTCCCAATTTATTGTTTTTATTATAATATATAATTGTAAAATAACAAAGTGTTGTACATTCTTATATTATCTTAAAATAAATATACCTGCCCTTGAACTAAGAAACTTATTAGTACTTTGTTTTATGTATATCTGTGGACTACTGTCTTTCTGAAAAATGTCAGCTTTGAACTTTGAAAATTTTTGTTGATAACCAAACCGACATTGATTTTAGACCTTCTGGTATGGCAATACATGCCAATGAGATTAATCTCACCAGTATTTTAGTAGGTGTAAATAAATAAATCACAGAGCCATAAAGCTTCTCAAAGTGTATAATAGGAATTCATATATTGTAGAATTATAGTCATAGGTACTGGAAAGCTTCTCAGGAAGCTTCATGTGACTTAATGAAGTATCAATTTTGCTTTACAGAACTGAGTGTTTAAATGTCTTAAAGTGATTAAACCAACACTACTAATGTTGGTACGTGGTAGACCTCATTTTACTAAGACAACTCCTATTCTTTTATAGCCATAAATTAACATTTAACATAGTGCTTTTACTTCCATTGGCTGTAAAAATATGAATTGTGTAATATTCACTAAGTATTAAATAAAAATTCTAAGTGATAAGAAAACATTGTGTGTTTTTTTTCTTTTAATTGGCAGCACTTTTATTTTTTTCGTAGCTCATGAAATAACTTTGTCCTGCAATCAATCACATCTTATATTCTGTGAAATACTGTATGAGGAAAATCAATGCAAAGATACAATTCTCTATATCTTTATAATCAGTAGATCACAATCAGTATTTTTGGCACACTAAAAACTGAAGAATGTACCTATAATTGTGACTACAGGCACATAAATATACAATGCTTAGAGGAAATAAAAACATTGTTATTAACGTTTTCTGGAAAAGATAAATTTTGTCCAGTATTATAAAGGAAGAGAAGGACAAACAATTATGGGAAGCAGGATGGAGAAAGTAAATAGAGAATTGGAGAAGGGATCTGAATGAGGAAAGATTTTTTAAATTGAGATTGAACAGACAGTTTTTAGAAAAATAAATTTAAAGAAATGCATAGACAGTTCTTAAAAAAACAAATTTAAAGAAATACAAGTTAAATTATTAATGACAATATATCCCTTCTCTTGTCAAACTGAAGAGATGGAATAGTTTGGAATGTACAGTGTTGGTTAAGTATGTGTGGCAATTAACAGTGAGGCCATATGTTTGGGTGCAACATCTTTGGAGAGCAATATATAGAAATAGCCCAAAGTTTTCACCTAGAATTTTACTTCTGGGTTGTAATATCCCAATACATATATTGATAAATTTGTGTGCCAACAAATATAACTATACAATGACATTGCATGTGACTATGAAAAAGAATGAAGTCCATTTATGATATGAGATGATCTGCAAGGCATTTTTATAGGAGCACAGCAAAGTACAGAAGAATCTACAATATGCTGTGTCTGTTCAAAACACACTTTCATTGCATAGACTTATATTTTAAGGTATCTTCATCAAAGTTCTATGTATATATTTCTAAAAGTCAAAAAGCTCTAGAGGGTTAAAATAAAAACCAGCATCTCTCTTCCCATCAGCCCTCATTTCTGCTCCTCTGAGGCTATGCCACTTTCCAATCTTGTAGCAGTTTCTCTTGGAATCTGCCTTCCTATTTCAGGATAATATATTATACAGATATTGATTGATTGATTTAATTTTTTTAGATTACTAATCGTTGACTTCCTCCAAAGGAAGATAGGAATTTGACTGTCTTACACAATCCCCCTCCAAGACAGACATTTCCCCTTCCCCATCCTTTCAGCATAGTTAGAGCATAATTTTAGTGAAATCAATTATTACAGCATCATCAATTATTTCCTTTTTTACACATCTTACTTTCCCTAGAGGTACTTTTTATCTTTAATTTTTTGTATACTTCTCATTTACCTACCATCACTAATTCATCCCCAGACTCATCTCCAGAACTAAACATACATTGTTAATGCATTCCAACCCATCAGGTAAATATGTAAATTTTTACTCATGATTTTAGAGATATCTCCTAGGGCTTTCGTTCCATCTACAATGGTTGTTTTCTAGTCCTGACGCTGAACTGACATTCCAGGATCTCCCTTCTCTATCATTCTATTTCACCCTCTCCATATTCCTGGTCTTCCTCTTATCTTTTCATATTTTGAAGTGGAGCACCATCCTCCATTGTGTCCTGGGAAAGGCTGCATTAGAAATAAATGTTTGAGATCTATAGGCCTAAAAATGCTTTTATTCTAACACATGCTCAGGTAACAAGTTGTCCAGGGATAGGCATCGAAAATGGCACACCTCTTCACTAAGAACTTTGAAAGGATTGCCCTGTTGTCTTCCAGCTTACAATATTGTTCTCAAGATACATTTCATTCTGATTCCTGACCTGTTTGGTTTTCTTTTCTTTCTCTAAAAGTCAATAGAATCTTCTTTTTGTCACTACTGTTCTAAAATTTCACATTGATATAACTTGGTAAAGACTGTTTCTCATTGATGTGCTGGGCACTCCATAGTCTTCAGTCTAAAAACTTAATGTCATTTATTTCTGCAAATATAACAAAACCATAATAAAAATTTCTTTGAGTGCTCCCTCCCTTCTTTTCTCTGTCCCATCCACTGGGAGTTTCTATTCAGATATTGCTTCTACATCACCTGTAATTTTTCTTTCTTTCTTACTGTTAATCTCTTTTATTTATTTATTTATTTATTTATTTATTTATTTATTTATTTATTTATTTATTTATGATAGTCACAGAGAGAGAGAGGCAGAGACACAGGCAGAGGGAGAAGCAGGCTCCATGCACCGGGAGCCCGACGTGGGATTCGATCCCGGGTCTCCAGGATCGCTCCCTGGGCCAAAGGCAGGCGCCAAACCGCTGCGCCACCCAGGGATCCCTGTTAATCTCTTTTTATTGTCATTTTTTAAAAGATTATTTCCGAGAGCGCGAGCGCACACTCATGTGAATGGGAGGAGGGGCAGAGGGAGAGGAAAAACCTCAAGCAGCCTCCCTGCTGAGCACAGAGCCCAATGTGGAACTCAAGCCCAGGACCCTGAGATCATGACTTGCGCCAAAACCGAGTCCAGCGCTTAACCAGCTGAGCCACCCAGGTGCCACTTTTTATTGTCATTTTTTAAAGATTACTTGAGATTTTTTGAAAACCTTCTTACAGTCTATCCATTCTCTTGAGCTTTTTGTTTATTCTGTCACTTTTTAAAGTCATTCTTTGAATTTACCTCCTGTTCTTGTTTATTCAATAGCTTTTATCCTCTGGTTATTTTAGTTTCTTATAGATTTTCTTCTGTCCTCTTCATTGCCTCCTTTTTCTTTTTTGTTTGTTTTTGGGGTGTCTCAGATTTTTCTCAAATATCTGGTAACCTTTCGCTATACATTTGTACTCTTAAATTGCAAGCACATGGAATTAGCTTTTGACAGGTGAGTCTCTTTGCTGTTCTGGCTTAGTCATTTTGTACGAGAGAGCTGGACTTTTTTCAGTATTGATAAACCTTTCTCTTTGGTCAGATCTCTTCTGCCTGTTGGTTCAAAGCCTAGCCACTATTTTACTCAGAGCTGTGCTAGTCAAATGTGCTAGTATCTGTAAACGGAATCCCTGTGCTTGGACCTCTGAAGAGTCTTCTGCTGGTGGGGGGGGGGGGAGTGGGGTGGTGTTGGTGCAGGAAGGAGCTTGAGGTCTCAATGCTTTACAAACAGAATTTCAGTCCATCCTGTTTACAGTGCCAGCTTCAGAGGTATTTGGGTCCTTCCACTCTTAAGTCTTTCAGGACCTCTGCAGGGTCAATCTGCCTCTTTCAGAGTGTCTCTCTGTTGCAGGCATTTTAGTTCACTTTGGTCTAGAAGTTAATTACCATCTGTTTCTGAAGTTTGAAAATTTGGAGCCCATCTTCGCTTGTCCCTGAGAAAGAAAGCTATACTTTTCTGTCATTTTGTATGGCTTTAAGAGGGAGTGGGAAAAAATTGTGTCTAAAACAATGTATTTAACCTCCAACCTTAGAATATATCTAGAAGTACCCATATAGAACTGAACTGGTCACCTGTGGAGACAGGGCCATAGATCTATTTAAGGAAGGGGACCATAAGCTCATAGACTTAATGAGCTGTTACTGGACTACTTTGCGTTTTTACCATGTGTTTATTTTTTCAAGAAAAGCATGTTTTTAAAACTTAGAATCTCAGTTCAGAAAAAGAATAAATCATGAAGGTCACATGTTGGGTGGATTTATTCACCAAATCCAGAGTTAGGTTACTTCTCAAAGAGACAGTTTTAAGAAAAATTAAAGCATAGTGATGATTATGAATTTATGGAATATCACATGATTTCAGTTTGGATGGCAGGGATAAGAAAGGGGTTAATTGATAATGGAAGATGGTGGAAATCAGTAGATTAAAAAAGTTGAAGATAGCAGCCATACTCTCACAAAACATATTTTGGTGATGTTTTACCATAAGAGACAAAGAACTGAAGTTGATTATTAGTCTAATTCAGTAGGGCATTCTCACATATTTTCAAGGGTAAAGCCAGTGGATTTTAAACTGAAATAAAATGAGTTTAGTAATGAAAGACAATGAATAAACATATTTGCAGTCTATGGCGTATAATGCTTTACTCTTTGCAAGCTCTAGGTGTTATAAGAGTTAAAGATTCAAGCTGGAAAATCTACCAAAAAAAAAAAAAAAACTCTGAAAATCTATACTTTTTTATGTCATTGCTCTTTGGTGCTAAGAGGTTCTCAAGAAAGTGAGTATCTTATGTACCATTTGTGCTGTAATATTTTATTACAGTGAGTGTACAGAAGATTAGCTGTCTCAAAGATTCTTTTGAAATCAGATTGCACATCAAAACTGCATTGTGCCCTGCTAAGTAAGCAAATTTAAGAAAGAGGAGAAGGTGATGTCAAGACTTATTGCAAAATGAACAAATAAAGGAAAAAGATTTGCTTGGTGTTCAGCCTATTAAAGCATAGCCAAATGTCAGTCTTCATTTGTCAACTTAAATATGTTTTTCTAAAACTTACAAAGATTCAGTCTACAGAAAGTATCCTTTAGTATTTGGACTTGAGAAAAAATTAGACATCACGAAAATACTAAATAGAATATACCAATAACTCAATTTCTCAGTGATAATTTACCACACAAATAATGCACATTAGTAATTCAGATACAGATATTTGCTGACTTCTTTGTTATTTTCCTAATTATATAATGAATACATGTGTTTTTGCTCCCCAATACTTGAGATTTTAGAAGGTCAAAGGTAAACTTCTTTCCACAATAGCGAGACCACCAAATACAACACACACAAGCATTTCCAGTCTCCAGGAGTTTCTCCCTTCAAAAAAAGGTAAGGGAAGGGGGAAAAATAAATTTTTAAAAATCCAAGAGCTGAGCCTCAAGTAGCCAGGGAGAAGACTAGGTTAGGTAGCTGGCAGCCTGAATTGGACTTGCTAGAAATAACCAGCAACATAGGTAAAGATCCCAGGCTGGAGCAACAGAGTTCACAAGGGCTTGAAACTAGAATAATGCGGAGCCTGCAGGCATTGTGAAG